ACATAAAAAGCCATCTCTCGTGGATAGCTTTGGGTTGCATAAATAAAATGATTTGGGCCTACCCTAGATGCTTGTGATAATATTTGTTTGATTAGAATATTGGGTAAATAACACTTAACCCTCTTTGGTTTGTACTGGATGCACATGACCCCTTGTAGTTTGAACTTTGTGCATATAAGTCCCCTATACTTCTGATATAAGCACATAAACCCCCTATGATATTTCATTTGGTAAATAATCATACTCATTAGAAAGAAGGAATTGTTGAAAATACAATGAGGTTATGTGTTTACATTAAAATACCAGAGTTCATGTACTATATTGGAAGTACAGGGGGTCATGTCCACAAAGTTAAAACCACAGGGGGGCTAAGTGCTATTTACCGAGAATATTTTCTTAATTTTTCGAAAACAACAGTTGTGTTATATTATTTTTCTTTAAATCATTTGGTTTCAGGAAGAGGGAGAGAGAGAGAGGGGTGTGACTTGAAAAATAAATTCACTCAAATTGAGGGAATGGAAGAGTAAAATTAAATAAATTGAATAACTATACATGAATCAATTTGAGGCTCTACACAACAAGTATATAATTGTATATCTACACATATTTATCTATTTCTCAGTGTAAATTACAACCGTCCCCATGAGGTAATGTTTGTTTACGAAACAAACCCCTCATTTTTCCGTAATTTATATCCACTCCCTGCAATTTGTAAATTTATTACTTTAACACCCGTTTTGTAGGGGTGGATGTACGAAATTTACAAACTGCAGCGGACTAAATGTAATTATGAAAAAATGAAGGATTTTTTTCGTAAATAGATCTTACACCAGGGAGGTGGTTGAATCAGTAGAAACTAAGGGTTTTTTTTTTTTTTTTTTCTTAGTAATTTCAAGTTTACCCTATTTCTTATTTAGCTTCTTTGGATTGAATCAATAGGAACTGCCTTGGATGCATCTAGATGGTTCAGCCGACACGTTCCGAGAAGGATTTCCGGAAGCTCTTCCGCCGTGTTTCCCTAAAAAATCCATTAAAATAAAAAATTAATTTTATTAAAAACCAAAACAAATTTACGTCGTTTGTGGAATGTTCTAGATCAAGATTTCGAAACGGATAAAAACGGGCCCCGTTTATTTTCAATAATATCATTACCTGTATAAGAAATGCCATTTCTATAACAAGATTGTTGAGGTATCCAAGAACAAGGCTAACAACTCCCCTCGCCACCGTTGACGATCCAATATCGATACCGAGCTGAATATTCTCGACCGGTTAGAAATATAATTAAAGATATAAATATTTATTATTTATTATTTTTTTTCGGTTTTCCATTTTTACCTCCAAGTAGTTTTTTCCTCGAAAATAGTTGATTTGAAGTGCTTGACCTATCAAACAAGCTTTTCTTCCAACACTCTGCTTCACTATCCACGATCCCTGATAAAAAAATTACGTAATTTCGAATGTTATATATATATGTATATATATGTGCGTGCGTTTGTGTGTGATATTATATGTAGATGCGAACCTTGGAAATGTATGGTATGAGCTTGAACCGCGAATTTCGAAACGAGTTGTCTCCATTTACGAAATGCTCCAATAGAGGCGTGTCTTTTAACGGAGTTTTTAGCATGTAATATAAGGCCAAATTGTACGTGGTCGAGCCCGGAACCTAATTAATTTCGACCGAATTTTTTTTTTCAAATTAATTTTTATAAATAAGATGGATTTAAAAAAATTCATTGTAGAATGAATTTTCTATTTATCTATTTTTTTTTACCTGTATGTTAATGATAAAAAAGAACTCTGGCCCTCCCTTTGCCGCATATTTCTGCACAATTTTTTCGATTAAAACTACGATCACTAGTGTGTAATCTACAAACATTTTTCATCGTAAATTACGGGAAAAAAAAAAGAGACAATGTAATAAAAACCTCGACAATGCCTCCAAAACGGCCGCCAAGATCGTCTTCACGCTTGTCTGATTTTATCCAATCGGCCCCCACCATCTGCATTAAAGTGCCGTTCGCCGTAATCTTGAAAAAAAAAAAAAAAAAACGAATTCCAAATACATTATTAGCTTCAATTTCGGAAGTTACGCCGAAACTCATTAGTTTCTTGAAATTTAAATATTTGATAAAAAGAGCAACCTTTTGGCGGTCCTCGAGATAATTATCACCACGAATAAGAAACGAGGAAGGCTCGGATATTGACCAACTACACGGGATTTTAAAACTCGTATCTTTCGTAAGTGTGGCTCCGTAATAGTACGATATACTTTCTTCCCAAGATATTGCTTGTAAGTCAACGTAACCCTTTTTCTGGACCGCAAGATCGTGCAATTTCTTCACAAAGTTGGCTGCCGACGATAATTTCGGTTGGTACTTTTCCTGCAAATTCCGAGATATTTACACGTATTATAAATGCATGCATATCTCGGATTGAAAAATCTTGAAAATTAAAACTTAATAATTATACCACATAGCATGATTCATTGTCGAACGGATCATCATCGGAAGGTTCCGGAACATCGAAGAATTCATCCGCTGCATCACTTAGTCCCGCGAGACTATAAGTTCCGGAAAGTTCTCCTGATTTATCATTTTCTTGTGTAGCTTCTCTTTTGATCACCTCCTTTCCAATACGAGGAACACCAATATCTATTGTGAGTTCTCCCGATAAAAAATCTTGGCTAGTATTTCCTGATTTAGCTCTCAACAATTCCCTTAGAGCTGCAATTAAAAAACGAGCCTCGCCATTTACGACAAGAAAAATAAAATAAAAATAATAATAATAAAAACAAAAAGGACCACATGTATTTCACCTGCAACTCGTCCAACCATACGTATCGTAATGGATCTCGAAGCTGCTTTTCTTACATACGATTTCCAGAACTTCCAGTCGATAGATAGCATGTGTTTTACGACACATTCTTTACCTTGGTTTGTAGGCGTTATCACGTATCCGCCACCTAAGCTCGGTTAATAAGTACATAATACAGACAAATCAATATTCAATATGTTATCCATATTCCAAAATTAAGCGAAAATTAGAAAAACGGGGTATTCACAATTTTCCGAGTCAAAGCATACGTTACTTTTAAGGCAAGCACGGACATAACCATTTTGAGGCGGACACTTTTCGTGGAAAACGGAATGGTACAAAATTACTGCAAAAAAAAAAAAAATCATTTGTGTGAGAATTATAGCTTAACATTAACTATCAAAATCGACAGCAAATTCTAAACGAAAATTACCATAAGTGCCATCATCTTCTCTTCTCCAATAACGTCGGAGAAGCAAATCTCTTCGTTTCATTGCCCTGCAGACAAAAAAAAAAAATTGGTTAGTAAAAGTAAAAAAAAAAAAACTATATTTTTTTTTTTGGGATTTCTTGGCAGAAGTTAAAAATCTAACCATGGTAGCCAATGATTATACAATTGAAGGTGAATTATATCCGTGTGACCGTCGAGTTGCTCGACCACATTTCCCTTGTAGATACAAAAATCCCATCTGCCAAAAAAATAAATAAAAATTAATTAAAATGTTAAATTCCGCGAAAAAAAAAGAATCACATTCAGTATGCTTACTCTGTTCTCGAGTGACCGAGATTCATAAGCGTATGAAAAACAGTTTCCGAATCTCCGTTTACGACACCAACTGCCATTATAGCTGGGTGATTATCCCAATGCTGTAAACAAACAATTAAAAAAAAATTATCATCTCGAAGAATCAACTAACTAACTACAAGCGAAAAAAGTCGAAAAGAAAATCTACCCTTCCGTTTGAGTCTCTGTCTTTAGCTTCTTTGAAGAGACGCAATCCTAAAATTAAAAATCGAACATAAACTATAGTCCCCGAGAAACATTTTCCAGTATGTACCTCAAAACAGCGTGGGGCCCACGGGGGGCCATGGCCCCCCAATCACTTAGAATTATTTTTATATATTCGAGTATTAACCACTAGAAGTTGGATTTTTTTTTTTTTTACCGTTTTGGCAGCCGAATATTTTCCACGGTGAAGGTGCAATTACGTCGGAGGTCATTGCCGATGACAAGTCAATAGAATTTTTCGACGTTCTTTTCGTAACACTCAAACTGTTGGAACGAAAAAAATAAAATTGAATTCTTAACCGTATCCATATAAGTTGAAGAAAGACGATTATCTAAAAAAAATTCTGCAAAACGGAAAATAATAAGATCACCTGAAAGGCTGATATTTTCTCTCGGAGCAAGAAATAAAACTTTTTCGTGGATTAATTGCGGTATTTTGTAGTGAACGGATCCATCTAGAAGCTTCTTCGGAGCTCGTTGCCCCGAGCTACAAAAATATTAAATTTAGAAACTACATTATTATTATTATTATTATCCACACATTATTTCATCGATTAAAATTAGAAGATTTGCGGTATACGTACCTTCAACTGATCTTTGTGATTAGAAGTGTTGCATAGCGTGAACACGAAAAATAACTGCAAATATTCACAAGAAAATTAAAATAAAATAAAAAAATAAAATAGGGGATATGAATTTAGTTGCGGGAGACGACAATTACTCTCATACGATGTCTCGCTCTTCCATTGTCTACGACACGAACGCACGAGTCTATTATTGCACTTCGTATGGGCTCCTGATATTTATTACAACACGTAACACATAATTGTTATAATAATAAAACCATCATTTTATGATTTATTATGCAATATATGATGATTGTGCATTCTTATATATATCTAACTACAAGACGATTGAAGCTAGAATCGATAGTCGAAGTTGACGAATTCGATTACAAAATCTTCGAACGATCGAAACATTTCACCGAAACGGAATTACAACATTTCCTAAACACAGAGATAATTCTTTAATGTACAAACAATTTAAAAAAAGAAAAATAGCATATTCTTATATGTGGTGCACGTTAGCAAACACGAAACAGAGTGGTGCATGTTAGCAAAATCTTCGAACGATCGAAATCTTTCACCGTAACGGAATTACATCATTTCCTAAACACAGATAATTCTTGAATGTATGTTTTTTTTTTTAAAAACAGCATATTCTTATAACTTATAAGTGGTGCATGTTAGCAAACACGAAACAGAGTGGTGCATGCTAGCAAAATCTTCGAACCATCGAAACCTTTCACCGTAACGGAATTACAACATTTCCTCAACACAGAGATAATTCTTGAATGTACAAACAATTTTCTTATACAAAAAAAGCATATTCTTATAAGCGGTGCACGTTAGCAAAACACGAAACGGGGACGGTGCATGTTAGCAAACAAGAAACAGGGGAGGTGCATGTTAGCAAAACCTGATCTGTGTGAGGAGTGGGGATTGATTTGAAGCTGTTGAGGCAGTTGTCTTCAAGAATGAAGTATCTCTTACGTGAATTTTGAAACCCTAAACGATTTAAACCAATCAAATAAAGCCACCCCTCCATTTTTCCTTCTTTTTCCGCCATACCCATTTCTTCAAGATTCCCAAATACCCAGAAAAATATAAATTCTAATTAAAAATCAAATCTTTATTCAATTTTCTCTCTCTCTCTCTCTCTCTAAATTAAAAACCCATGTATATGCAAATATAGCTAACAGTCGTGTTTTATAATTAGGTTGGCTGTCCGCCAGTTCATAATTATTTTACCAAATAGCCCTTCCAATTTAATTATTCGCATTTTGGCCCCAACTAGTTTTTTATTCATGTTGGTTGGCAAAATATTAATTAAATAGAAGAAAATAAAATTTGTGGCAACATATTCTCCAAATAAAAAAAATAATAAATCTCGTAACTACTAGACTCGGTCATATATTTTATAACGTTGTTGATAAAAAAACGTACTGAATAATTCGTTCGATAATTTAATATTTCGTTAAATTAATAAAATTTTGTTAGTCCTGACTACATTAATTAATGATGTTTAATTAATAGGTTCGATTTGAACTTTGAAGTACTCATTCGATATAGAACATTAATCCACGATTATGTAAAAGGGTACTTTAGGAAATATTAATTATGGAAAATGTTGGTCTTCAATATTATCGCGTTGTAGATTGCCTAGTGTGGCTGAAAGCCTGGAATTTACCACAATAAAATAAATAAATAAATAAATAATATAATGAATCGAGCCAATTTTAAATATATACATATGATTTATTTTTTTTATTTTTTTGTATTGAATGCAATAACATCTCATTAGAATAAGGAAGAATGCTATTATAATTAGATATAAATTTGATGTGGTGCCCACTTCTTTTTGTGTTGGTTGATGATTTATTTATTCAAATGTTTACCAATTCCAATATTTTAAATGATTTAAAAATTTAAATATGATAAGTTTAATGAAGGGATTATTCTAGTGAGGTATAGGTTTATTCTCTTACATTACATGTGAATATTTTATACATTTAATCAAGTGTTTTTATATTAGTGATGTCACACGTTAAATTAAGGTTAAAAAACAAGTATAATAAATATATTCGGCTGGAAATTAAAAAAAAAAATCCCCTTTAATTTATTGGGCCAATATCTCTAAGATGAGACAACAGGCCACCCACTTGTTCTAAACCCCATTAACCCACCAAAAGACTAATTTTCATTTTTTTTTATTAATTTAAGATTTGACTAAATTCATTTCAAACAACTAATAAGCTTTTATATCTGACAAGTTGTTTTAAGAGCTGATAAATTGTTACGTTTTAATTTTAGAATTAATTTGCAAAGTGTTTGGATAATAATCTTATTTTGCTCTTCAGGAATTTATTTTTTGAATTTTGAATTTTTACAACAAAATTATTAAACACTTTGGAAAAAATTATAAGCTCTTAAACATCTTATAAATTCTTAAATATCTCATAAATTCTTTTTAACAATTTATAATCTCAGCACCACATTGTATCATAAAATAATCTTATATTGCATACGTCATCATGCAAATGGACCAGATATTTGATTTATGCGCATTTTTAAATATTTTGACGCGTGTTGTGTGTTAGTCATTAACTCATTATTATTCTTCAAAACATTTTATCAAATTGCGAGTAAATTTTTTTTTTTTTTTTTGCATATTTAATTTAATTTTCTTCTTTTTTCCCTAATCGAGCTAATTGACCCGATTTTAACTTATCAATTGAAAATACATGTTCAGTTATTGAGCTCAAACAAGCTTTTAACAAATAATATTGAATTTGATTAATCAATGATACGTGTCTCAATTTTTTTCCAACAAAATCGTTGATACTTAGAAGGATATACATTATATATATATATATATATATATATATATATATATATATATATATATATATATATATATATATATATATTTGCTCTTAATGTATAACTTTATTGAATTTAATGGGCAAGTTAAGGTTCTCCCAAAGTTTTGCCTATCATTCACTAAAGATAAAGGAAAGTCTTCCTTAATCCATTTCCCCTTTTCTTTTGCTCTTTTCACTTCACTTTACCTCCTACCTCCAATTGATTTTTAAATAAAAAAAAATTCCCCAAATTTTGAAGGAAAGAATTGCAGAAAAAGTCGAAATATAAAATATGCGATCACTTAGTCGAGTTTGTCACATATAAATAGCCTATTGTCGTTTACGTCTCGTAAAGTATGCAAACTATTATACCAGAATATATGTTTATCAATTTCCTTTTCATAAAAAAAATAGTAAAATTATTTTATTTGAAATAAGATGTAAAATAAGTCAAAATAGTATTTGAAAAAGTAGTACCTTTTGACTTTTGAGAAGCTATTCGGCCGATTTGAACAACAACCTCATTTGTTCTGACGTATTCGTACCTACCTAATTATATAATTTAATTACACCAAACTGAATTAAATAAATCATCAAACAATTAATTAATATATAATTATATATTATTAAAATAATTAATTGGAAACCTATCGCCATTTGTTTCAACAAGGACAAAGTTCAGTTTTACTCTAACTTTATTGTATAAACTTATTACTCCCATTCTCTTGGTTAGTAAGCAAATAATTGTGATTATACTAATAACTGAAATTAGTCGAGTCGAACGTATTATTGTTTGAAATTTATCGAGCTTTCAACATTTTATTCAAGTTTGGTTTGATAAGTAAGTTAATCGAGCCAGAAGAAGTTTTCATCAAACTGAACATGAATTTAACTCGAGTTATTTGAATTTTTTTTGTATACATATTTTTTTATTATTCTAATTAAGCTCAAGACCAAGCCGAACTTTATAGCTTACCAAAGGAAAATATGTGTTTAATTTTGATTTGTTATATTTATAAATCGAGATCAAACGATTTTTTAACGAACAATATCGACTCAAATACGGAGCAACTTATTTTGAGTTCGAGTACAAAAAGAGAACATTATATGGTCGGGCTTAGGGGTGCAAGTTGGAACGGAAATTCCGATTTCCGCCGGTTCCGATCCGAAAAGTTCCGATTTTGGAACAACTTTTTTCATTCCGATTTCCGAAATTCCGATTTCCGATTTTTTCCGATTTTTTTGGATTGGAATTGGAATTATATAAAAAAAAAATTGGAATTTCCGATTTCCGATCCGATTATTTCCGAAAAAATTCCAATTTTTTTCCGAAAAAATCCGATTTTTTTCCAAAAAATACATCTTTGAGTAATATATATATATATTATACTTATTTTAAATTATTTAGTTGTATTTATTCTTTATGGGCTATGTCACCTAAAAAAGCCCTAGTTTATTTTATGTTAAACCCTAGTTTTACGTTTATTATTTCTTGTGCAAAGTCAAAGAGTCATAATTTCTGCCATAAGTCAAAAATCACAATTCACAACTCATAATTTTTATTTTTAGCAAATTATGAAATTTTCAGCGAAGTTTCGAAATTTTAATACTTATGTCATTTCCGAAAATTTTCCGAAATTCCGAAATTTCCGGGCCTTTTGGAATTGGAATGAATTTTTAGATTCCGAAAATTTTGGAATTGGAATTGGAATTGATTTTGTACTTCCGAATTTTTTTGGAAATATTCCGAAAAGGCTAATTCCGATCCGATCCTTCCGACTTTCAGCCCTAGTCGGGCTTCACCTACATGGGCTGGGTATAAGTATTCCACTTTAATATGGGCCTAAAATTGAAATATGTTTGGGGCCTAAAAAATTTAAAACGGATCAGCAAACAAATGGCCCAGCCTACTGAACCCAATTTGACCCTGCCACGACCCGGCAATGTAATAATCGCAAAACTTGCTTTGGTCATGATTAGGGGTGAAAACGAGCTGAGCCTGCCTATTTTGACGAGCCCGAGTCAGTGTGACGAGCTCGAACTCGAACCCAAGCTCATTTTTTTTAATTTATTTTATTACTATTATATTTTTAAAATTAACATTTTTAATAAAAAAATTACTAAATAAATAATGAATTGTTATTTTTTTTAATTTTTATATGTACTTTTTATATTATTTAAAGTAGAATAACATCTAAAATACTAAAAAAACTAAAATTAAAATAAAAAGAAAGCGAGCTGTCTCGTGAGCTCAAGAATAACTACGAAAAAATTCGAGTTTGGCTCGTCAAATAAAGTATCAATATGTTGAAACAATTAAAATATCTAACATCGCAATTCCGTCAACAGCGACGTAAATTGGCCGAATCGAGTATTCACATTAACGGTAGAAACAAGAGCGAAACTTCTATTAGAAACAACTACCCTAGTAATAGACGCATGAGTTCGACATGTTAGTTGTGAAGTGGATCCTAAGTTGAGGAGTGTAATGATTGGAGCCACAATAGTGGAGGTTGTACTAGGTTGTGAATTGAATGTAGCACAAAATCTTGTACCGGCTCATGAAGAGCGACATAAATTGGGCGGGACCAACCACACTATTCACATTAACAATAGAGCATGTGCGAAACTTCTATTATGAGCAAGTGTACTAGCTGTGTAAGTATGAAAGGATCTAATGCAGGTAGAAGCAGGAATTGAGGTTGGGGATGAATTTTGCAAATTTTGAATGGTCAAGTGTTTCATTCTAGTAGTCAGTTTTTGGGAGAACATTAAAATTAAGATATAAAAGTGAGGATTGATGTGAGCTTAAAAGAAAGATTTGAATGAAATATAGCTATATGTATTAATATACGAATATATGTATATATATTCATAGTTGGTCTTGAGATTCAGGAGACCAACGCATAATTTGGAAACATATTCAATATTAAAAATGTTTGTTTGGATAGTTTACAATGAACTCATACGCTCCTATTTATGTATTTATACATCCCAAATGTATGATGAAAATTGATTTAATCCTTCAAAACGACTCTATAAAAGACTACAAATGTTACATAAAAACATTCTACATACCTTCTAATAGAGATGTACAATAGAGAGGTTTGTCGAAAGTTCATAAGAACTTTCTAAAAAAGAAAAATACTAAATACAGTTAAAGCTCTATTGATTAATACAGTCAGAACTAACAAAATCTATCAAATTAGTAATATTTTAAATTATTGATTTAATACTTAAGTACACTTTGTACTTACTCGAGACTGAAAGAAATTATTGTTTAAGCGAGGTTATTAATTTATGACAGTTTATTTTTGGAAAAATTACAGTTTTTATCCCTCCACTTGGCATTGATTTCACATTTAGTCCTTCATGTTCACAAAAAACACATTTGGTCCCTCATGTTTCAGTAATTTAACACTTTTGGTCATTTCCATCAATTTACCGGTAGTACACACACTTGATTCCGTTAGTACTAATTGAAAATTGACGAAAATTACCAAAAGTGTTGAATTTTGGAAACATGATGGATCAATTGTATTTTTTGTGAACTCAGGGGACCAAATGTGGAATTGATGCAAAATTGAGGGACGAACTCTGTAATTTTCCCATTTATTTTAGAGAATCAAAAGCTAAGAAAGTTTGCAAACGCGCCTGAAGGAAAGCACGCAAGAAACATTGCAACATTCCACTGAAAGTCCGACTTGGAAAACTAAGCTGAAGCACATCGTCCGCCGCAAGCACCGTCCTCCGCCGTCCGCCGTCATCAAATCGTCGTCCGGCTAAAACAAGAGCTACTGTAAGCGAATTAAATTTTCAAATCGAAATAAATAGGTTTGGTTTGAAAATCGAAATTTATATTTTTGCCTTTGGAAATTGAAAATTGTTCATTTGTTTAGATTTATTTGTGTTTAAATCCAATTCCAAAACCTAAAATATTGAAAATGGTGGAAATCGGTAAAAGCACAGAGCAATTGTGTGAAGAAGACGATAGATGCAGATTTTCTTGTCAAATCCGGTGCATATTCTCAAACTCACATTCGTTTCAGAATCTCAGCAAAAATTCGATTTAGATTTACCCAGAAACATTCGGTATATATTTTCACACAGTTTCCGTACAAATTTTGCTTGAATGCCATGGCAGTTGGATTGAAACTATTGCCCTAATTTGATCTACATCACCTGTATTTTTTTTATTTTTCTTTGGCTCTGTTGTACAGAAAAATGTAATTTAACCGCAGCCATTATATACATAGTCGAGCTGACGGATTAATTATAAATTTTATAAGAATTAAAGCAACTCCACATTTCTAATGAAAGTATGGAACCTTGGTTTTTACTCCTATCGTAAATGGTTATTTTGGTTTCTATGAGTCCAGTTAAGCTAAATTGTCTGCCCCGTTTATTGGTGTGAGAATTCGTTAACTAGTAATTTGTTTATTTAGCTTGATTATCCGACAGAAGGTTCGAACTGAAATCATGTTATACAGCTTGCGAACTTGATCTCATATTACAGTATAAGAAATATACACCGTTCACTTCTAAATAGAAACATAGTTGAACTTTGTGATGTAGGTAGTTTCTATGGTCTGAGGAAAAAATGACGATCGTTCATATGGCAGCAGTTCAGCCGCCCAAGAAGGTCGATAAGCAATCAGCATCGTCCACCGCCAGCTGGCAGTCTTCGGCTCCAAAGTTCAAACGTTGGGGCAGAAGATCTCCGTTTATTAGATACGGTCTTCCGATGATTTCACTCACTGTGTTTGGAGCTCTAGGACTTGGCCATCTACTTCAAGGAAGGTTAGATGTTTGAAATTATATTATCTTTTGAGAAATTTGTATTTTTATTCCTCTCCGCTTCGGATATAGGGCAAATTACAGCCACCCCGAGGTATGGCCAAATTACGAAAAAAATCCTTCTTGCTTGGATAATTACAACCACCCCTCAACTACGTATCTTCTTACGAAAAAACCCCTCATTTAGTAGGTGAATTTGACACCGTAAGCGTGGACGGGTAATACATAGTTGAGGGGCGGTTGTAATTACCCAAATATGAGGGGTTTTTTTGTAATTTGGCCTTACCTTAGGGGGCACCGTAATTTGCCCTTTAATTGGGCTTTGTTTCTTTGCATATTATGAGCTGTTTAAAGATTGTATCTGTGCAGACACAGACGAACATGGTACATCCCAGAAGTCCGTTTCTATTTTTTTTTCCGTTTCTTTTTCATCAGAAGATTATTGAGACATCATTCTTTGACTTTGTTTGTACCCATGAATCAAGTGCTCCAAATTGCAGCATGTAGGAAATATGGTTGCATCACCCTTATTTTCTAGTTTGCATTTTGTGGAGTCTTGATTTTTACCAGGTTGTTCGACTCGTTTTCATGGGTGACGATCATGTAAATTGTTTTCAATGATTGCTCCTCCTCAACCATAAGCTTTAACTCATGTTATTTTTAGTTCTGTTCTTAAGACGTAATAAAATGGGATTGAATTACCGTCTACATACGAAAATGTCGGAAGATATTTTATTTTCATGGTTTTTTCTTTATTCTATCGTAATCTGATGGAACGAATTTTTTCGAATCTTAGCAAGGATATTGCAAAAGTGAAGGATGATCAAGAATGGGAGATTATCGAGACAAGAAAAGCACTGTCCAGAACAGGACCCGTGGATGCCTACAAACCGAAAAATATTTCTCTCGAGGAAGAGCTCAAGGTAAACAAGCCCTACTATTATTGCTCATGTATTAACATAGAATATTTAGTGATTTTATTTATACCTAAGAGACGTTTATTTTTTGCAGGCTCTGCAGCAAAAAGTCGACATAGAAAATTACGAATACAAGAAGATTCCCAAGCTGAATGAAGGCAAATGAAGCTAAGATTTATCTCTCTTCCTCGTTTTTTTCTGGCATATAGAGAGAATAAGCTCAACTCATATGCATTGCTTGCATTCGTTTTCGTTAGTAGCTTGAAACATTAGTTATTAAATTTTGACTGCCGTAACAAGAAATTGAAGACACATTTGGTCAACTTGTACTTGTTTTCACTCGAACAAAATTACGAAGAACTCGTAATAACAGTAGGAGTGTAGAGTCGAGCTCGCTCGATGCTGTTTATTTCAGAGCTCATTCTCACCAGTGAACCCTCGTGTGCTTTTAGACACCTAAGCTAGTTTCATTTTAATAATGAAAAATAGGGTAAATTCCACTTTCACCCCTTGTACTTTGGTTTGGTATCACTTTACCGCCTTCTTCTCTCGATTGCATCGATTTGCCCCCCTGCACTTGAAAAATTGTTTCGATGTGGCCCTCTTTGTTAGTTGCCAGACATTTGACCTTAAACACCGTTTGGTCTAAACTCTGAAATTACAAAAACACCGCCCCTCCCAGTTTAAATAATTATTAAAAAAAAAATAAAAAAACTCAAGACAATGAGAAAGCATAGGTCACGATGGTAACCACAATTTATTTGTATTTTTTAATTTCTTAATTTTTTTTTATAATTATTTAAACTGGGAGGAGTGGCATTTTTGTAATTTTGAGACCTTAGACAAAACGATGTTAAGGTCAAAGGTCTGAAAACTAACGTCGAGGGCCACATTAAGACAATTTTTCAAGTGCAGGAGGGCAAATCGATGCAATCGAGAGTAGAATGGGATAAAGTTATATCGAGCCAAAGTACAAGGGGGAAAGTGAATTTTTTATTTTTAACAAGCCTGCTTTTATAATATCTAGGTAAGTTTGGTTTTATTAATTTTTAGTGTTATTAAAAAAAATAATGAGCCAATTGATGAGCTCTTGAAAAATTAAGCTCTTATGTACGGTTAATTAGAAATCTAATAATGTAGCGGGGACTGGATTGCAATTTCTCATAATAAGAAGTGGACAGTTCATTAGACAGTATCCCCACAATTACAGTCCAATAATTACCCCTTTTGTCCCAAAAAAACCATATACCATTATCTACATCACCCCCAAACAATCACACAAATTACAAAAAAAAACCACTAGCTAAAACTTTCCCCACATTCCTTTCCCAATATACCCCCATCTTTTACATAATTTATTTCTCCACCAAACTTAGACGATAAAAAAGAAGGCGACGAACGACAATAAAACCGACAAACTACTACCTTGGCTTCGGTTGTGAACCGAACGACGACCACATAGGCCTAAGAAGCCTTTGACCCGAAGGGCTACCCAACAAGGAAGCCTGCGAACGAGTCACCATCTCAACCATCGACGGTGTTTGATAGGCTTGGACGAGGCTCGATCCATCCGTCGAATCTCCTCTAGCTGTCGCTCTTTGCCACGAGTGCGAGCTAAGCCCCGACAATATATAAGCCCTCCCCGACGCCTCGTACACGTGTCGGCTCGCCATTCGCTCCTCCATCTCCTTCACCTCCGCCTCGAGCGACGCGCACAGCCTGTCGCCTGACCTTGCCGAAGCGGTCTCCAATAGAACCTTCCGAAAGCTCTCGAGCGCCGAAACCGCCCCCGCCAGATCCCCGTTCTCCGCCAGTGCTCGCGCCGTCGCCATAGCCTCTGCCGCCCGAATTCTGTTTTGTTGCCTGTCCACTTCGATCGAGATTTTTGCCACGTCATTGTTTCTCTCGATTCTAACTTCCTCACCTTCCAATTTCACAAACTCTTTCGTCAAAGGGTCGGTGTACACGCAACTCACCTTCAAGATCGACGTTTCTTCGACAGGGACATTTACGGAAACCAAAAAGTCTCTCTCCTCGTCTGCGTAAAGATCTCCAACATCAATCGATCCCGTCTTTCGATCGGGCATCACACGGTTGTGATAACTCCCTGCTTTTAAAGATCCTATATAAACCGTGGGGCCCACACACTCAATCCCCACACGAAGATCCTTAACCACAACGCTCAAAAGTCCACCAATGCACTGCGCGAAGGCGTCTTGGATTATCCCTTCTGTCTCGATGAACGAAAAGGTCCCTCCGGAAGCTTCCGAGATCGAGTGCATCGACGATGCGTCGTGGTCCCCACCAAAACCGAACGCATGTACCGGAATCTTGAAAGTCGACGAATCATTGGGTCGAACCGATAAAGGAAGGAGCATCTCGTAATTTGGTCGATTTTGGGTGATAGTGTAAGTATCTTGCCCGTCCGATAATAGTATGATACTCGAAACGGGGTTCTTCTCGCGTCGGTCTTCCATTACTTTGGCCCCCTTTCTCAACCCCTCGGCGATGTTGGTTCCTCCATTGGCGACCAAGGAGTTAACAGCTTGCAGGGCTTGCTGCCGCCCTGTTTCAGACATTCGCCGGAGCGGGAAGAGGCGGCGGGCGGTGGAGGAGAAGGCGATCACCGCCAACCGATCATTCGGGCCGAGATTTTGAATCACAAAGCCCATAGCCCGTTTAAGCAATGCGAGCTTTGTGCCCGCCATGCTCCCGCTTATGTCAAGAACGGTGACAAGATCGACGGGGGCTCGTGGGGTCTGAGAGTGCGAAGCGGGGGCTTTTAGATGAAGCAACACGGTGAAACTGTCCAATTTATGGGATTTTACGACAGTTGAAACTTCCGTGTATGTCTTGATATTGACTTTCCGTCCGTGGTTAAGATTATCCGTGGGAGTCTTGTTGTCCGAGAAAGTTGTGTTGGTGGAGTCGATTTTGTGATCCAATGACTCGTCATCGTTGAAGATTGATGGCTCGGGGGATTGAAATATCGGGGCGGGGTTACGGGCGGAGTTTGAACGTGGTGGTGGTAATCGACGGAGAACGGTCATAAATTCGTCGTTGTTATTGCGGGCCGCCCTATCGGTGGGGCCTTGGAAGGGGATTTCTTTCCACTTTGCTCGACAAACGGGGCAGATTTGATTGCCGTGTTTAACGTTCGAAGCGATGCATTGGAAATGGAACGAGTGGGAACACTCTGCGGTGAATATAGCTTGCCCGTCTCCTCGTCGCATCGATGCTAGACATATCGAGCAAGTCTTCTGAAAATGGAAACACAAAAAAAAAACCCATTGGAAATCAAACTAAAACAATGGCAATTCTTCGCTCAAATCTCGAAAAATCGAAAAATCGGCAAACAAGAACGAGGATTTTGCTCACAAGAAACACATGTATCAACTATCAACTAAACATTTGAACCTCTCTTCCAATCTTTCATATGACAAATCAATAAACCAGAAATCCATTATCATACAATCACAACAACTTGATAAGCAATCATATAAATCAGACACATAAAAAAAGGATGTAATAAGTGAAAATAAGCTGAAAGTAAACCTTTGAAGAAGATCTGCTCAAGCTCTTGGAAAGCCTGAGCCTGTTAGAAGCCGGGGCCGGAGTCGCCGGAACAGATGTCCAGTCACACGGCGGCGAGAGGAGGGCGGCGTCCGACCGCCGCTGAGAAGGCGGCGGCGGCGGAAGGGAGTCGTAGTCGTCGTCATTGTCGGCCACGTGGTTCCTGGGGCCGTACACACACAGATTCATACCCAGAGCCAGCTTTACTTTCCTCCATTTACTCCCCATTTCTAATTTTCTCTTGCTTCCTATTATTTCTCAAAATTTAAAAAAAAAAAAAAAAACAATCCAAATTTTTTTTTTCAAGAAAACCCAAAATTAAGAAACCCTTTTCAAGAAAATGAGGGAGAAAAATTAAAACTTGGTTCTTTGAAATGAGATTTTCCCTAAATAACAAGGGGAGAGAGAGAGAGAGAGAGAGTCAAGCACGCAAATCAAGAAAGAGGAAACAAGGGAGAGCTGGATGCGGGCCGTGTTAATAAATGGTTGTTGAAGAAAGACTCAGTAACATTAAATAATAACCTATTGTGTGTGGTAAGAGGGAAGTTGCTTCACACTTGTTCTTGGCGGCCATGAGAGAGAGAGAGAGACAGATAGAGAGAGAAAGTAGAGAGAGAGAGTAACACAACACTAAATGAATGGACTGTGGGGAGATGTGAGCTGACCTTTGCTGTTTGTATTGTTACTTTGTGGGCTGTATAAATTAGTTGAATTATTTATTTTTTTATTTTTTGACCTTGCCCCATGTTTTTGTTGTCTCAAGAATAATTTATATGTACAATGAAAAAAGACATACAAAAGTTTTAGTACAATACATAATGTACTTTTTCGGGGACTTTTTTGTCTTTTGACCTTTGTCTAGATTTTTTTTACTTAATTTTGGTTTTTCTTAATTGTCAACTTCCAATTTATATGTTTAGTTCTACAAATAAAATTAAGAGTAAATTACAACCATCTCTATGAGATAAAGTCTGTCTATGAAAAAATTTCTCATATTTGAGTAATTACATTCAACGTTTCTATGGTTTTGAAATTTCTTACATCCACCCTTGTAAAAGAGTGTTAGTCATAAATTTACAAATTGCAAGGTGGTGGATGTAATTATGAAAATTTGAGGGTTTTTTTAGTAAATAGATCTAATTCAAGGGGGGCATTTGTAATTTGCTGAGTATACACCAATTTTTATCACATGATAAAAATCAAGTATATTATTCGTACAGTAGAACCTCGATAAATTAATAACTTAAATTAAATAATATTTTTTTTTCGGTCCCAATTCGGTAAAACGTACTAAATTATTAGCTTGATAATTTAATATTCCGCTAAATTAATAGAATTTTGCTAGTACCAACTATATTATTTTATAAAGATTTAATTGTATTTGCATTTTTTGGGATAGTAAAAGAATTCAAAGTGGATATTGATATTATTTCATTGTAGACCAAAAATGCTCATTGTAATCATATCATTTCAAGAAAAGAAGAATTTCCAAATGGGTAAAAATGAAATGAATATATTGGGATTTTTTTTATTTTTTATTTCTTTAATTAAACTTATAGTTGATGATTGAATATTTCCCACACTTTCTTTCACACGTGCACATCATTACCGTAAGACTAATCTTGATTTGGGTGCTTAAACTTTTTTTTTTTCTAGTGTCAAATTGTTGACAATATCAAGTCTCATCAAACGAGTTTATTAATATTATTATTATTATTAAAAAAAAAAAAATTATTTTTTATTTCATCTTTTGTTGATCAACTCGAGTTCAAGACTATATATAAATGAACTAAATTAATGTCTCTTGCAATAATATTTAGAATTAATATGTATGTGTGTTTAACGAATAGTTATTTAATATAAATTTACGGATCAAAATCATTTAATGTGTCACATCAGTATAGCATTTCGTAGATCTGTTTATACTAACTCTACTAATTCAATTAGCAAATTGAGCTTAATGAACATTAGTAATTTCTTATCATTAAAAAAGAGAAAAAAATGAAATTTCTAGGTAACATAGTCAGTCTATAATGGTTTAATTCAACACATTTTCATTTCAAATCCATTAAAATAAATTCAACTATATGTGTGTGTGTGTGTTTTCATCATGTATTTATATAATCACTGTGTGTGTGTTTTTTTCTTTTTACCAAGGTCATCGATTTCGGCAAACAAATAGTCAAAGTTTGGCACTCGATGATTTGTTTTTAACTCTTCCAACATTGATATTTAATTGTTAATATTCAGATATTTAATTGTAAACATTTAAATAATCCTTTGATTGTTCTCACATTCTAGAAAATTGTAAAATTTCTTTGGTCGAAAACAATTCCGAAAATTACAATCTCCCCTAAGATAAGGTCTATTTACAGAAAAATCCATTACTTTTTCATAATTACATTCACCTTCTACAAGATGAATATTTCTTACATTAACATCCTTTAGTAGGGGCAATTTTTCAAAACATTTATTTTTTATAATTACACTTTACTTCAGGAAGGTGATAGTAATTTGCCTAAAATAAATTGGTCAATTTTTTAATGTTTGAATGAGCATTTTATGATAAATTTATATACTCCCTCCATTCCATTTTAATTGTCTTTCTAGAGAATTGTTTTCATTTCGAAATAACAGTCACTTTAGAATTCCAATAAGATATTTATTGTGTTTTCTCAACTATGCCCTTATTACTATTAAAAGAAACAATTGTTAAACATTTACTCCCTCCGTTCCTAAATAGGTGTCGTTTTTCACATTGGCACAAATCTTAAGAATCTCAATAAATATGTCTTGATTTTAGGAAAATAGATATTGATGGACCAAAATACCCTTGTTTATTAATTAATGCAGGAAGAGTGTTATAGAGTTAATAAGGGTAAAATTGAAAAATAAACAATTAATGCAGCATTGGAATTGTAAAGTGACAGATAATATGGAACAAAAAAAATTCTCAAAAGAGACAGTTATTATGGAACAGATGGAGTAATAAAAGTGAATTTTTAATCATTTTATTATGATTTTTCTAGAATTCATGCACATTTATTAGTTTTCTTAATATGTGTGAATTAGCCCGAGAAGACAATTAAAATTTAATTGAAATGTCAACATCATAAACCACAATAACATCTCTGGCATTATAACAAATAACTAAATTCGATGAGAAAATCAAATAAGTTAGATTGAGTTGTTATAATCGTGTTTTGACTTTTAGCGACTAAGAATTGTCTCCATCTATCTATCACCAATATGGCTGTAATTTGGAATATGATTTTTAAATTCCTCATATATCCTGATTTTTTTTTTTGGGTTAATTGAAACAATATTTTGCATTTCTATTTTCCATTTCTATCAATAATATTGTTATGTATTTTATATAAAAAAAATTGAAATTTTCAATTTCGTCGCTCTGATCCGATTTTTATTTTTTTATTTTCTGAATTTGGAACAAGTTTTCTTTTACCAATTAACGAAAAGATTAAATTTTTTTTTTCTGGAACGGAGTTGGAATTAATTTTTCATTTCATAAAAAATAAAATTCGAAAGTGATAATTCTAATTGAACGTGTCCCGATCACTAGACACACTATTTCCATCACAATTCGAAATAAAACGAAATGGAATAAAAATAAAATAAAATCCAAGCCCTAAAATAAAGGGAATATTGATAAATATTGCAAAATACTTGTAGCACTAAAGAGAGTATAACAAGTGGAACAAGAACTTATATATCCATTAGAATTATTGAAAGAATATATAGGGCATCCAAAAATTGTCCAATTGTGTGATTTGAAAATGGAGAATCTTGACCAAGATACCCTCTTATCTTCTCCACTCCAAAATTAGTGCAGAATAATCCCAAAATAAATCAAAATAAATAAAAATTAATCAAAATAAAAAATAAATAAAAAGAATAGATAAAAGAAAAGAATGAAGCATGTAACATAATTTGAACTTGAGTAGTGGTGTTCTCTATTCCCCCTAACTTTATTTTACTTTTTACTCTCTTAAAAAGACAACCTTTTAAAAGTGAAAAATGCCCTATTTCTTTTTAATCTGCAAATAATAATAATAATAATAAAATAAATAATAAAATAAATAATAAATAAATAAAGGGTTTCATTATTCCCTCTCCCCCACAAAAAACATCAACTAGGAACCAAGATAGTGACTCCTTTTCATATCCACACCTCCTTTTGAGAGCATCCCAACTTGTGTGTGTTTTTAGTGCGTGTTTGAGTGTGAGAGAGAAACACAAAAAATATACATACACATATTATACACACACACACACGTATATGTGTAATGTGTGGCTAGAGATCCCATTAACAAAGAGGAATCCTTTATTAAAGGTATAGGATTCCCTTTTACTATCATCCCCCTCTAAAATTTGCCAGACTTTATGGGGCAAGTCAACTAGAAAGCTTCACTTTTTTGTTATTTCTTTTTTGGCCCTTTTACTTTTCATTTATTCCTCTTTCTCTCATTTTTCATAAATTCTTGATTAAAATAATCCACTAGTTTTGACTATAGTTAATTCCACTTGGGTAACATCAACTCCACATAGAATTCCACAAACTATGGTTACAAATCAAGAACCACAAATCTCATCGTGCAAATGTTGACATATATATACATATATCTATACTTGATTTATGTATCTATTTCACACACACACACACACACAAGTTGGTATTAAGAACACAATATGTAATTATGGGAGTAGGGCATGTGCACATCATTGTTTTCTTGAAGGTGGCATAGAAAGCAAGCATCCTAGTGATTTCTATAATGAAATTAACTATTAAATTAAATTTTTTTCTATAAAATAATCAACTTTGTTCTTGATATTAATTTATCTATAGTGGAGGAGGCATATATATATATATATATATATATATATACACACACACATATGATGATTAGGCATGATGCATGAAAGATGGCATTTTTAGTCCACCTTTATGTGACATAAATATATGGCCATCTCAATTGATGGATTAGTCCTGCAAAAAAATGAGTATTTTTCCTTAGTTATGATGTCACACATGTGCATTCATTATCATCAAAATATTTAAGTCAAACCTAATCCAATCAATTTATTTATTTAAAAATTAAATAAATTTGGTCTTATAATATGGTCGTACATCACACGTACCCAACGCATGCACCCTGAGGAATTCGAACACCCGGCCTCATACCAAACACCACTATGGAGAAACTCCCGATAACAATAAGCTAAAGCTTAGTTGGTACCTAGTCCAATCAGGGTGGCAAGGCTCACTAGATTAATACTCCATATATTAATAACTTCGCTTCAATAATAATTTATTCAGGTACCGATTCGATGAAAACATATTAAATTAATAGTTTAATATTTCACTAAATTAATAAATTTTTGCTAGTCCCGACTGTATTAATTAGCAGATGTTTAACTGTACTTTACCTTTATATAGCAATATAAATCCAATTTAAAACGAAAGGCCCATATTTTTATGACTTGGGCTAAAATCAATTGATTTGGACCATATCATAAAAATTAATGCACAAAATTTGTGGCCTTAGTGTACTTTTGTCATCTCGTTTTACTCTTGTGATATAATTTTGAACTTCCACAATACTTTACCTGGTTGATTGCAATTTGTTGCGATTTATAATCTAATAGTCGTTTTTTTCGCAAGCTTTATCATATAGTTTTCCACCGTAGCTCGACGTGTATAACTCCATTCTTCGAATCTATCAAATGGTATTTCTGATTTATACGGCCATTATGCACAACATCGGCTAGGTTAATATCCACATGCCCTAAGGATTCCTATAAATCGAAACAATAATTCAAACACAACTATATATATTAGTTATATATACACAAACATACTTAAAACTAAAAGTAATAGAAGAATCGAAGTAGACGATAAAAAGAGAAGGCGACTAATGAACTTATATAAAATACCTTCGAATGGAAGCTAATGCTCGTCCGCTTACTCATGACCTTAATGTGGATCTTCTCTTGCAACGGAGGCTCTTCGAGCAAGAATTGGAACTCCTCGTTCCACAATGGGTCCCGCGTTTTTCTCACCATCTAAATAAAAAGACACCAAATTTTTTATTTTTATTTTTTTTGATGGATCATTACAAATAACAAAATAAAAATTGACTTAAAAAAAAGATCGGATTCACCTTTGATTTCTTGGTTTCGCCTCTAAAAATAACCAACACGTAAGGATTATTATGACGGGAGCCCTCCACATCGTGGGCCCCTTGAACGGTGACTAGAAGTAGGCCCGCCCCCGTTGGGCTTAGAATATTGCTAGATGCTCTTTCTAGAACACTGTCTTTCCGAGTGTAGCCGTCCAAACGGTCACTAAAACTAGCGTTATTGTCTTCTCTAAATGGAGCGTATGTTAACTCGAGCAAGATTTGCCCACGTGGCTTCTTGTTCGAAGGATCACTAACACTCGTGTCTTTTAACAAATCGAGTGTCACTTCTTTTGCTTCGTTAGGTTTTAGCATTTTCAACGGAAAAATTTGGGCTCCCAATCGATCGTGTGAGCCCACCTGTTAAAAGACAAAATGAAAAGATTGCAAGAATTATTTCAATGTAAGAAATTTGGGTTTATTGCATTCAGCACCCTTGTAGTTTATCTAATTGCCAAAAAACCCTCCATGTTATTAATATTAGCAAGAAACCCCCATAATACGTTTTTTTAGCACACAACCTCCTACAAAATAGCTTCATTTTGCTAATAAAAAAATCGAATTGTAGGGTTTTTTTTACTAATAAAATAGCATAAGAGGGTTTTTCAGCAATTAGAGAAAACACAATGGTGTTGAATGCAATAAACTCTAAAAAAAATTCGATTTTTTTTAAACTTAATTCCAGAAAAAAGATTGAATTTTTTTTATACCTTATCCCAATCGTAGACATTTATAAGAAGCATTTGAGATTGCGGGTCCTTCACCGAAAGTTTGAAGTCCTCGTTCCACTCTGGATTTAATGTCTTTTTTTTAATTGTAGTTTTCTTCGACGGGAGTTTTTCTCCAGTGAGGCTGAGCTTAACATAGGGATCCGATAAGCCGAGTAAATCCATCTTCAAAAGCTTTGTTGCACGCACCACTTTTACGTGAAGAATTCCCACCGGCTTCTTTATTGCCACCCTGGAATAATCCAAGGTAAAATTAATCGAAAAAAAGTTTAATTTATTTCGAAATACGATTGTAAGATATTTAAAGTACACGACTCACGTCGAAGCATCGAGGATGGGTATTTCAAGAGACTTAGGCCAAAGGTAAAGACTTGCAACTTCCTTTTTAATCCTCTCCTGACAACAAAAGTATCATGCAAATTCAGTATTCAAATAATACAGTTTACGGGAAAAAAGTTATATAAATAAATTAATTCCAACAGTTAAATAAATATTACCTGAACATATCGATAAAGTCCAGGCACCGACATGATGTCAGCACCCAACAGGTTCAGTCCAAAGTCGATATGCGGCTGTATGTATATATATATATATATATATATACACACACACACACACACAGATTATGCAAAGAAAATGATTTAGACCAAAAAAAATAATAAATAAATAAAACACCTATTTAACATAATTAAAAAAAATTATAATTACCTTCTCCATCAAAGAGACGACTATGCTTGCAAAACAGGGAATAGTCGGCACTAGTGGCTTCAAAGTCACTCGAGGTACAGCAAATACTTGCAAATCGACCAACTGTAAATTAATTACAAAATATTAAAAATCTTCCAAAACTCGAAATAATTGAATAAATAACGAGAAATATTTATTCATCAAATTCGAGTAGCATTTCTTTGAGCTCGACTAACCTGGATTGTTACTTCTACAGACGAAATAATTACTGAAATAATTATGTTCGGATTTCCAGCCCATCTTACTGCTGGTTCCATTACAAGTTCCCTCTCGTTTGTCTCACACACTTTAAGACCTGCAAAATTGAATATATATTTATATATAATATTTAAATATTTTTTTATTGTTTCGTTTGGAAAATCGAAAACATCACTAAGAAAGAATTGGATGTAACAGCAGAAAAGAAACTCACCATGAATTGTTGGTGGAGTATTTCCGAGGCTTAGATTCTTGAACTTAATCGATTCTATTTTGAATTTACCGATATACTCTGCAAATATCGGTTCGGCCGTGCTTCTAATAATGTTACAAATTGCCTGTAAGTAGTACACATATGAGCAAACCAAATACATATTTTGATTAATTTTTAATGTTTCGTTGATATATTTCGGGAGCAATATCAAAAAAAAAATTACCTTGTCAAGAAAAGGCCACATATCGGAAATGAATTTGTTTAACCACTCTACCTACATATATTGAAACAATTTGTCTGATTAGAGAATAGCCCACATTCTCGATTTTATTGGACACCGAATGAAATTATTTTAGAAAAAAATTAAAATAAAATACTTACTCGATCATAATCGGGACTTTTCACCCAAAGGGGAATATCAGGCATAAGATCCTCCAACGCAACTGTATCGAGCTCGGTTAGTGGCTTCACTATCAAATCCTGAAAAAAAAAAAAAAAATCAATTTTCACAAGTGTTATTTCGACATTAACATTAACCTTGATTCAAACTTGCAATGGCTTCCGAACGATGATTTAAGTAAGGGCTTGTTTGGCAGACCTCTTAACTACTATCTCTAATTTCGACTTCCGATAAAGATGAGTACGACTCTACGATACACGAGACTAATACAACATTTGATCAATTTATTTATTTTCTCAAAAAAGAGAGTGATTACACAAACACACAAACGCACAAAACACACACAGACATATATACAAACACCATACGTGCACAAACAAAAACAGAATTGAAGCACAAATAAAAACAGAATTCAATAAACAAAAATGGATATATACGATTGCCATCCTTTTTTTTTCCTTTCTTAAGAACAGAATCGAACAGTAGAAAAGTTAAAAAAAAAAATTACACACAGAGAGTTGTATACAATTACCTCAACATCTTCGAATTGAGAATAAATAAATAAGTAAAACCCAACAAAAAGACCAAAGGGAAACCCAATTCCAAAACCAAGAATTCCCAATAAACTGCTAAAAAATCCCATTTCTCTTCACCACCAAAAAAAGCTACAGGAAATCTTCTTTTTTTTCTGAAAATGGAGTCGGGGTTGAATAAGGAACAAGCGCGGAAATGGTATTAAATGCCTAAGGCGAAAAAGGAAAAGAATTACAGATAGGAATTGATGAGAGAGAAACTAGAGAGAGAGAGAGAGAGGGGAAAAGTAAATGATGAACTGTAGACAGTCAATTTACGGTAAAATCTAAGAAATAAAATCATTTCTTCTATGCTGAATTTGAAAATTACGAAGGGACTGATCTGTATACCGCCAAAAAAACGCAGAAGTTTTTATGCTGGAGAATTAAAAAAAAAAAAAAAAAAAAAAAAAAAAAAAAAAGATCGCCTTCATCGTACACTCCGAAAACAATTATTTAACTTTTTTTTTTATTTTCTTGCAGAGACATAAGAAAATGGTTATTTAATATTTTAATGTAATCACGTGAGCAAGAAATACTATATATTAAAAAAGAAAAGCTTAATTCCAGTTTGCACCCTTGAAATGCTATTTTTGCACTTTGCACCTCGGAAATAATTTATGGCACTTTGCACCTCAAAACATGTTTAATCGTTCAGAGTGCACCCCTAGTATATTTTTCGACTATAATTTTCTGTCGCTGACTTATTTTTTGATCGTCACCATGGCCAATTTTGTCTATTCAATTGATTTTTTTCTTCAGGGTGTAAAGTTCTAATGTATTTTCGAACAAATTATCAAAAATGAAAAATGTATTTTCGAACAAAAATGATTCTATTGGCAGTAGAAAGTAGAAAATAGGTCGATAATGGGAATACTCAGGACGAAAAATAAACTAGGGTGCAATTTGAACGATTAAACATGTTTCGAGAGTGCATAGTGCCATAATTTATTTTCAAGGGTGCAAAATGACATAAATTATTTTTGATGGTGGAAAGTGCCAAAATGGTACATTTCAGGGGTGTAAAGTGGAAGTATGCCAATAAAATATAGGCATATGTTTTTTACAGGAAAAATAAAAATTATACAAGGGACTCAATATTTTACCAACGTGAAATAAAATCCAATTTTATTTCAACTAATTTTCTAGACAAGTCAAGATCGTAGTCAATGCTTAACTATGCCCTAATCAATAATAGCATATTAGGTTACCAAACCTGAAAAGGCACTACAATTACCTAACCATTTTTAAAATATAAAACTTAAATACTAGGGCGTTACTGAAATTAAAACTCATTGATTTTACTTTTAAAGTGTATTATAAGTTTGATTTCGGCGAAAATAAATTAAATATACATAGAATCACTTAATCTTAATAAATAATATTACAAATTGAAACCCAAAATTGGAGCCCGAGTGAAATTCGAGTATTTTCTCCCAAAATTGTGTCTTTTTTTCTAAAATAAACAAATAAAATGGCTTAAATGGCGTCTTTTTTATGCTCATTTGAAAAAAAAAAAAAAGAAATTGGAAGACATATTATTTTGAATTATAATTTCTATAATATTTGAATGATTCAGTGCGATTCATGTGTGTTGATAAGTTGTGTGTGTAAAAAGAAAAAAATAAATTTAATTTACATTTCAATTGTAATGAGTAGTGAGTTAAGGTGTGTGAAATAAAATTAATTATGTTTTATTTATTATAAAAATAATTATAAAATAAAAAAATAAAATAAAAAAATCAGTTGGTCTTAATTTGAATTGGTCCAACCGTGATCCAGTTCAATATCCAGTCCGCTCAACAGTCAAAACCACTCTCCCAACACGAAGAATTTCAGAATTCTAAGGTTTAATTATGAGCCCATTTAACACAAAATTAACTTTCTTCTAATACATAATTTTAGGCACAAATTAATGATTACATTTATAAAATTTCCATGAAAATGGAAGGTGACGTTTGGCTTTCGTGCAAAATATGCTTTCCATCCACCACCTCTATATGGCCACACAGCCAAATTTTCAGCCTAATATCATATTCCGCACTTTACACCAAACAGCCCCCCACCCATCGTACACGTGTCACGATCCCAACCCTCCATTACACCTTCCTCATCCAACAGTCAATATTAAATTTCAACAAACACACACAATTTTCTATTTAAACAAACCAAAATTGGCTCAACAAACTCAGGAAATTCAGCTTAGCCCAATTTTTTCACAAGCTTCGCCAATTTCCGATATATATTATTATTTTAATAAATTAAAATTATATAATGGAGAGTGTGAATGGGAAAAGCAATTGTATCCAGCGGCGGCCGGAGATGAAGAACGACGGCGATCCGCTGAAGTGGAAGGCGGCGGCGGAGTTGTTGAAGGGGAGCCACCTCGATGAAGTGAAGCGAATGGTGGAGGAATATCGGAGGCCGGTGGTCCGGCTGGGAGGGGAGACGCTGACAATATCGCAGGTGGCGGCGGTGGCCAACAGAGGGGCGGCGGAGATCACGGTGGAGGTGGCGGAGGCGGCGAGGGGCGGCGTGGAGGCGAGCAGTGATTGGGTGGTGGAGAGTATGAAGAGAGGGACGGATAGTTATGGAGTGACGACTGGGTTCGGTGCGACGTCGTATCGGAGGACCAAACAAGGTGGTGCATTACAAATCGAGCTTATTAGGTAATTTAATATATATTACTTTCCATTTTACACTTTTAAATAATTTTTTTATTTTTTTATTTAGTTTTAATTAGATATGCACAAAATACATAAGGCGACTATAAATTTCTCATTAATTTTATTTTCTTAATTGTCACTCACTCAATTATAAGAGTAATAAGCACAAATTACTGAGAAAACGATGATTAATGCATTATTAAAATTCTAAACCATATAATATAAAATTATAAATAAATTTTCAAAGCGTTAGTTAACTTGAAATGGAAGGAGTATGCATATATTATTTGAGTTTATTGCAAATAGTACCCAATTCTTATATCGAAATGGTAAAAAAAATTACCCCGTGTTGTTATTTGATCAATGGCAAAATCTTTTCTATAGCATTTGGTACCCCTGATTAGGGGGTTGTGTGCTAAAAAAAATGAATCGTAAGGGAGATTTTTGTCAGTAGTTTATTAGCATTTTGATATAACACGGGGGTAGTATAGTCGCAGTAAATCCCATATTATTGAAGTTATTTTTCGATGACATGTTGATTGTATTTTAACTCTTCATTTATATTTAATCGAGGAAATTTAAACTATATACGTAGTTAAACTTCTATATAGTAATACAGTTGGAACTAACAAAATTTTATTAATTTAGCAAAAAATAAAATTATCGGATCAATGATTTAGTATGTTTTTACTGAAACGGGACCGATAGAAATTATTTATTAACATAAGTTTTTAGTTTATCGATGTTTATATTATATTGATGATATTACCAATGAACATATGGTGTAACTAAACCAATAAAATAAAATAATGAGATAAGCTAAGTATGAAATTCGAATGAATTTACAAATAGTTTCATGTAAAATGACAAGAGTTATCGATCTTATGTCATGAATGTATAGACAATATTCTAAAATTATATTCTACATGCTTATCTATAAAAGTATTGATTTACATTAAAATAAATAAAAATAAAAATAGACAGTTTGACAAATAATTACGACTTTGGCTATAGTACGAATATAGTTAGGTGGCTGGCAAATTCAACATTAATGTTATCTTATCTATAGTTCTATACATTTCGGAATATAATAAAATAATTAAACTTTTTCTATTCATATATATATGTATTTATGCTGATATTTGCAGATGAATAATATATTTGGTCAATAAAATAAAAAAACAATTTATTTCACACTTGTCATGATTCACGAGCACTTTTAATACGTGCCAATGTATAGCCCATGCATGCATGCATGCATGCGTAAATGATGGATAATTAAATGCTAGTTTTAAAATATATTTACAGTGCCCTTTTCTGCATTCTGTATCAAGAAAACAGTCCTTTTTGCAGTTTCAGACATTAAAATAATTTTCTTTCGAAAAATAAAATTAAAAAATTCAAGTAAAAAAAAAATGTAATCATCAATTAAAAAAATATTTAATATTTCCATATTTTAATCTTTATTCTATATATTTTCTAATATTTAGTTATACTTAATGATTTTTTTTAAAAAATATGTATGTAAGAGATCCCCTGTTGCCCAAATGTTACAATTTCCTGCTAATATATTTGATTAATTATTTAATAAATAAAAATACACAGATTTCTGAACGCCGGAATATTCGGCAACAGCACGGAATCAAGCCACACTCTGCCGCACTCCGCCACAAGAGCCGCCATGCTAGTAAGAATCAACACCCTCCTTCAAGGCTACTCCGGCATTAGATTCCAAATCTTGGAAGCCCTAACAAAATTCCTCAACAAAGACATAACCCCACTCCTCCCCTTACGTGGCACCATCACCGCCTCCGGCGACCTCGTCCCGTTATCCTACATCGCCGCCGTTTTAACAGGCCGGCCCAACGCCAAAGCCACCGGGCCCCACAACGAGCCCCTAGGCCCGGCCCAGGCATTCGCCATGGCCGGGATCGAAACGGGCTTCTTCGAGCTCCAGCCCAAAGAAGGCCTTGCCCTAGTCAACGGCACCGCCGTCGGCTCGGGCCTGGCCTCGATTGTCCTGTTCGAGACCAACATTCTCGCGCTTCTCTCGGAAGTTACGTCCGCGGTGTTCGCGGAAGTCATGCAGGGAAAGCCCGAATTCACGGATCACCTAACGCACAAGCTCAAGCACCACCCGGGCCAGATCGAGGCCGCCGCTATAATGGAGCACATTCTCGACGGGAGCTCGTATGTGAAAGAAGCTCAAAAGATTCACGAAATGGACCCTCTACAAAAACCTAAACAGGACCGTTACGCCCTCCGGACATCACCCCAGTGGCTGGGCCCGCAGATCGAAGTGATTCGGGCCTCGACTAGATCCATAGAGAGGGAGATCAATTCGGTCAACGACAATCCACTCATCGATGTATCGAGGAACAAGGCCTTGCACGGCGGCAATTTTCAGGGTACCCCTATAGGAGTCTCGATGGACAACACACGTCTGGCGATCGCTTCGATTGGGAAGCTCGTTTTCGCACAATTCTCGGAGCTTGTCAACGACTTCTACAACAACGGCCTCCCGTCAAATTTGTCGGGGGGCCGAAACCCTAGCCTCGATTACGGCTTCAAGGGGGCCGAAATCGCGATGGCCGCTTATTGCTCGGAGCTCCAATTTCTAGCCAACCCCGTCACGAATCACGTCCAAAGCGCGGAGCAACACAACCAAGATGTGAATTCTTTAGGGCTTATTTCTTCGAGAAAAACGGCCGAGGCATTGGAAATCTTGAAGCTCATGTTTTCGACTTTTTTGGTGGCCCTTTGCCAGGCGATTGATTTGAGGCACGTGGAGGAGAATCTCAAGGCATCGGTGAAGAACACGGTGAGCCAAGTGGCGAAGAAAGTCTTGACAACGGGCATCAATGGTGAGCTCCATTCATCTAGGTTTTGTGAGAAGGAATTGCTCAAAGTGGTCGAGCGAGAACACGTTTTCGCATACATAGACGACCCCACAAGCGATGACTACCCGTTGATGCAGAAACTAAGGCAAGTGCTCGTAGATCAAGCACTAGCAAACGGCAAAGACGAGAAGAGTTTGAGCACTTCGATTTTCCACAAGATTGGTGCGTTCGAGGAAGAACTAAAAGCCCTTTTGCCTAAAGAAGTCGAAAACGCTCGATTAGAAATGGAAAACGGAAAGCCGATGATTGGTAATAGGATCGAGAATTGCAGGTCTTACCCGTTGTATAAGTTTGTGAGGAAAGAGGCGGAGACTAGCTTTCTGACGGGCGAAAAATGCCGTTCGCCCGGTGAAGAGTTCGATAAGGTTTTCTCGGCTATTTGCGAAGGGAGATTGATCGATCCATTGTTGGACTGTCTCAAGGAATGGAATATATATATATATATATATATATATATATATATATATATATATATATATATATATATATATATATATATATTTTACTACATTTTTATTATTATTTTCTTTCAAATTTTATTCTCTACTGATGGAGATCAATGTATATATTCAAACTTATTAATGATGTCTTGTAATATTATTATTATTATTATTTTTATTTTTATTTGTAATCTTTGGCGGGGTTCGAAAATCGGAACAAAGATCGTTTGAATTTTTTCTATGCGAGCGCGAATTATGTCTATTTATTTCTGGCTCAATTGCTAATTCAAATTAATATGCATGCAGTAGTCAATAAACTCGGCGCTTAAGTATTCACGAACGCTCATCGATCGATGTATCGAGAAACAAGGCCTAGACTAATATTCTTAAATTATATGGTTATCAATCCATGTTAATTAAATTACCATATTATCATAGGATTATATATATATGTATATATATATATATATATCAATTATCCACTTAAGTTAGCTTTGTCATAATCTGATCTGATTATGTACATATTTTTAATTAGAATCTCATATATAACACTTTAATTAACACTTTAGTTACTAATTTTCATGACTTGATATGAAATTATCAATATAGTCTAATAGTATTATTTATATTATCTAATCTTCACAATTCTTGATTTCTTATTAACTATAGTACTTGTAATTTGTGAATACTAAAATCAGATTATTTATTTATTTAAAAGAACTCTATAAAAAGGAACTTCAAGTAATGAAAAAAATACACACAAACCTTATGATGAGAATGACTAACATATTATTGCTTCTCTTCATATTTGCAAACATTATTTTCCAAGTAACAGATTCTTGTTTTTTGTCAGATAAATTTCATATGAATGTAGTGAGTCAACTCCCTCGTAAATCGCCACCGTTGTTCCTCCATTGCGCTTCGGGGAACGACGAGGTCGGGTACCACACACTCCACAAAAACGACACGTTTGAGTGGAAATTCTGCGACTACCCGATCAGCAACATTACTTTGTACTTTTGTCATTTCTGGTGGGGCCCACAGCAGAGAGCGTTTCACGTGTTCGACGACGATGTGCGCAGATCGTGTCTCGGCGGAGAGTGCCACTGGGCCGTGTGGGCGGACGGTTTCTATCTCTCGGGCCAGCTTTCGCAGGACACTTATAAAAAGAAATACTATTGGGAGAGTTAAGATTAATTATTCTAAATTTGAATGCATTGTATTATGCATATACTAGCATTTTTTCCCGTCCGATGTACGGGATATTATTTAAGTAGTGAAAAAAAATTAATAATTTAATACATAATAAGAAAATATAGTTAACTGATATAGTAAAATTTAATAATGTAGTTGTAAACCACAAATTTTTCGAATCTGTAAAACATAAATACAAGACAAGAAAAATATAGGAAACAAATAAATTTATTAACAAACGAAAGTGGATTACAATCTCCGTGCATTCCCCTGATTCTTCACTCCTATTCTAGATTTGATTCAAGGGATTAAAAGCTTGTTCTTGAATCGACGAATGATTTCCTATCACGAACACCTCGAATTCAAATATCATGATATATATGAATCCGAGGCGGAGGCTTGAAATGATTTCCTATCACGAACACCTCGAATTCAAATATGTTATGAATCCGAGGCGGAGGCTCGAGACGTGAGCTTAAGAGCTCGATTTGTGTCTTTCTGAGTCTCTTTTTTTTAGATGCACCAAAGATCTTCGTTTATAGGCACAAACTAGGGTTTCTCAACTTGCAGAGAAGGCCGGACATTTTAAAGCCCAAATATGTTATGGACTTTAATTTGAGACCTAAATTAATAACCAATTTATTTTGATTATTAATTAGTAATTTATCTCAAATTTCAATGTCTACTGTAGTATTATTCATATTTTATATAACATTAGTTTTTTAAATTATATAGATTAAGATTTATAATCCAAATAAATAGACTAAGATTTAACAAATCTAATTTCTAACTTTATCTCTTAAGACGAGAAGAGTTTGAGCACTTCGATTTTCCACAAGATTGGTGCGTTCGAGGAAGAACTAAGAGCCCTTTTGCCTAAAGAAGTCGAAAACGTAACGCTCGTTCCGAAATGGAAAACGGGAGGCCGGTAATTGGTAATAGGATCGAGAATTGTAGGTCTTACCCGTTGTATAAGTTTGTGAGGGGAGAGGCGGAGACTAGCTTTCTAACGGGCGAAAAAGACCGTTCGCCCGGTGAAGAGTTCGATAAGGTTTTCTCGGCTATTTGCGACGGGAGATTGATCGATCCGTTGTTGGATTGTCTCAAGGAATGGAATGGTTCTCCTCTTCCTCCTATATGATCAATCAGCTCACACACACACACACACACACACACACACACACACACATATATATATATATATATATATATATATATATATATATATATATATATATATATATACATTTTATTATTATTTCCTTTCAGATTTTATTCTCTACTGATGGAGATTAATGTATATATGTGACAGTATTCAAACTTATTAATGATGTCTTGTAATATTATTATTTATTTATTATAATTGTTTGTAATCTTTGGCGGTGTTCGAAAATCGAAACAGAGATCGTTTGACGTTTTTCAATGCGAGCGCGGATTATGTCTATTTTTTTCCGGCTCAATTGCTAATTCAAATTAATATGCTTGTAGTCAATAAACTCGGCGCTTAAGTATTCACGAACACTCATCGATCGATGTTTAAGTATTCACGAACACTCATCGATCGATGTATCGAGAAACAAGGCCTAGTGTTGAATATTCTTAAATTATATGGTTATCAATCCATGTTAATTAAATTACCATATTATCATAGGATTATATATCAATTATCCACTTTAAATTGTAATTAAAGTGAGTCAGCATATATGAGATTCTAATTAAATATATGTAGATAATCAGATCAGATTATGACAAAGCTAACTTAATATTAACACTTTAATTTCAATTTTCATGAATTGATATGAAATTATCAATATAGTCTAATAGTATTAGTTATATTATCTAATATTCACAATTCTTGATTTCTTATTAAATATACTTGTAATTACTGAATACTAAAATCAGATTTTTTTATTTTATTTAAAATAACTCTATAAAACAGAACTTCAAGTAATGAAAAAAATACACTCAAACCTAAATATGATGAGAATGACTCTCATATTATTGCTTCTCTTCATATTGCCAAACATTATTTTCCAAGTAACAAATTCTTGTTTTTTGGCAGATACAGTTCATATATATGTAGTGAGTCAACTCCCTCGTAAATCGCCACCGTTGTTCCTCCATTGCGCTTCGGGGAACGACGAGGTCGGGTACCACACACTCCACAAAAACGACACGTTCGAGTGGAAATTCTGCGACAACCCGCTCGGCAACATTACTTTGTACTTTTGTCATTTCTGGTGGGGCCCGCAGCAGAGGGCGTTTCGAGTGTTCGACGACGATGTGCGCAAATCGTGCCTCGGCGACGAGTGCCACTGGGCCGTGTGGGCCGACGGTTTCTATCTCTCGGGCCAGCTTTCGCAGGACACTTATAAAAAGAAATACTATTGGGAGAGTTCAAATTAATTGTTTTAAATTTGAATGGCATTGTATTATGCCTATTTTATATGAAGTTTTAAATTTTATGCTTGACCGATTTTTACTTATACGGACGCTTAAAAATTATAAATTCGAGATCTAACTTATAAATATTGACAGAACTTCGATTATGTGGGATGACGAATTTGTAAATAAGTTAGAGAAGCTATTTATTAGTTTTAAAATTTTCATATAAATAATTTCCGGCGACTTTGTAATTAAAATTCAAAATTCAATTTAAATATGACAAAAAATGCTAAATTTGTAAACTTATTGCATGTAAAAGTGAGATGGTATAAACTAGAGGACTAAATTCATAATTAAACCAACTTAGTGGACCAAAATTTCAATTCTTTCCTCTATAATCAAATCCTAAAAACACATACTAATTAACCAAAAAAAAAAAAAAAAAAAATCATATATGTATTATGTGGGATATACCTATAAATTATAATCATGACATTTCAAACTTAATTTACTACATTTAATTTCATTTTTTTTCCCTATAAAATAGACGAAATTCATGAAGAAAATAGCCGAATTAATATTATTCAAAGGGCTACACTATTAAAAACTCATTTAAAACTTCATGTATTTAAATAATTATTTTTTTCAATTCTGAAATGCTATCCCGTGCATCGCACAAGGATAAATACTAATCAAATTTAAAAGTCACATACTATTTTCGCGGTAAAGAACCTATTTATCCACATTAAAATTGGACAAATTTAATTTTGAAGATTTATGGTATCATATGTTCAAATTCGATAAGAAAATTATCTTTCCACCCTATTGTAATTCGATAAATCCGATTGTTTAGATGATTTTAATAATATAGTAAGTCAATATTTTCCAAATTGCAAATTCGAGAAATCTTAATTACCCAACAATTTGTCTATATAAGAAACCTAATAATTTGACAACTTATTCAAATACATATATCCAACACATTTTGTACAAAATATATAAAAATCAATTTCCAAACAATGAAAACAATTCTAGTTGTTTTCATGCTAACAATCTCTCTCCAAGCAACATTTGCCCAAGAAAAGCTCAAATGTTTCTGGTCTCTTTATCACGAGGTACACGTGGCGAATAACCTCCCTCCGAACTCTTCGCCGATGACGGTGCACTGTTTTTCCGGCGACGACGATTTAGGGTCTCATGATTTGGCAGTTGGTCAAGAGTTTAATTGGCATTTTTGCGATCACTTTTTAGCGAAAACTTTATTTCTTTGTCATTTGTGGTGGGATGCAAAACAGTTAGGTTTCGAGGCCTACAAAGGGACTTGGAAAAAACCGGCTACCAGCACGTTCCATCTGTGGGCAGCAAAGAGCGATGGCATTTACTATAACGAGGATAAAAATAATCAAACATCTTTGACCAAAAAATTCGATTGGCAATAATTAGTACATGATATTGTACTTTGTTACAAAATAAATAAAATTAATACCAAAAGAATAAAATATATTAGTTTTTTTTTTGTTTTTTTTTTCTGAATCAAATTGAACTAAAAGATGTTGGCAGCACTATATATATATTCATGGGAAACTCATAAATATTTATTTTAATTTGATGATAGAGTTATAATTTTGATTAGAGGAGTAAATTGAAATTAATATAATTTCAGAAATTGGAACAAGAGTTTCCTCCCAAATCAAGAAACTTCTAATTGAAATCGACTGAATTCAAAATTTTAATTTTATTCACCTATAATATAAAATATATAATTCCAATTCGCTATAAACGCATTTTGCAAAAACAAAAAGGGACTTTCATCTTAGGGCATCTCCAATAGAGTCTCCAAATTGGGTCTTTAAATTCTATTTTGGAGACCCAAATAGAGATCCGGTAAAATTTTACGGTCTCTAAAATAAAAAAATCCACAATGGGAGGGCTCTATAATTTTGAGTCTCTAAATCATGTTACGGATTATTTTATGTCGTAGTTTGTTTCTGGCTCAAAATTTATTCATATACGAGATTGTAGACAATTAAATTTTATTTGAACAATCTTAATTATTTTTATTACACATTTTGATCCGAAAAATGAAAATTTCTGAAAAGATATGAAATATTGAACTACGGCCCCTTGAACTTCCTTCAAGATCTTCCATTACTGTTAAAAAATAATTAAATATTAAGTCATTAAATTAAATATAAAAGAATTAAATTTATTAAACCTAAAAACAAAATAAACTAATTACTATAAAAAAACACTAATTAAATATTTTTTGAGTAACTAATGAAATACTAATTAAATACTTAATAATTATAAGATTTGTAAATTTCCACTAATTGTGCACCGCCTTTAATCTCCACTAATTTGTTTTTCTTCTAAATCTAACGCCTCGCCTCTTCTTCTCCCATTTTTTTCACTCTGTTCTTACGCAGCGTAACACAGAGAAAAGAAAAAAATTTGTGCTCCTAATTTCTTCAAGAATTGAAGTAAAACCCAACCCCCTACTTCTAATTTATTTATTCTCTGATCCATAAACCCAATCAAGTTTCCAATTTCTACAAGTATTAAAGAGAAAAAAAAAAAAGAAAAAAAAACTCACAATCTGAAGATTTTGAAGTGATGAAGAAGATGAAGAACAATTAGAGGCATTTATGCTTTTTTCATTATTTTTTCTTACGTTGAAAACCAACGGTCATATTTGCAAACATTCAAATTTTAATTTTTATTTAAGAAAATTAAATTCAAAATTTAAATTCAAGAAATTTTATTTTGTTTGAAGCTGGGTCCCATTAAATCAGAGTCTCCAAACCAATACCTAAATTTAGTTGCAAAATTCTGAAAATATAGAGCCCCTTAAAATGTCTTATTGGTGTTGGATTTTGTTGCAACCCAATGGAGTTTAGAGACTCCATTGGAGATGCCCTTATATATAAAAGAAAGAAACGTTGGACAACCCTAAAAAACCCTAATTGTATTTCTGTAATATTTTTTCTCTACTAATTTCTAACTATAATTTTTAACAATTATCAATCTCCTATTATTCATTAATATATCTCAAATCTTAAATAATAAAGATAGAAATACGATTTTTTAAATCTTAATCTATATATTTGGATAATAAATCTTAATATGTAATATTTAAAAAAACCAATGTTATATAAAAAATGAAAAATAGTACTACATTATTAAATTTTACTATATTAGTTATTTTCTTATTTTTTTCATTTTTAAAATAATATTCCGTGCATCGCACTAGAAAAAATACTAATACATAATAATAATAATAATAATAATAATAATAATAATAATAATAATAATAATAATAATAATAATTCGAATAAGAAATCGAAATACACTACATATTTCCAATTTCACCCAATTAAATATATTTCTAATAAAAAAAATTAAAATCGGTGAAAATCGAAAGAAAAAAAAACAATTTGCCACGTCATCATTTCTCCCCAATGCAAGCCACGTACACCTTTCACAATTTCCAGAATTCAACACGTGCTACTGAGTTTACACGTGCTAATATATTAATTTCTACATTTCGATCCCCATCACATCACACACACTTACACACACACACACACACACAGAGAGAAAGAAAGATCACACCACCATGGCGGCGATGGCTATGTCATCCCTCCTCCTCCACCCCAACTCCGGCCACCACAAACGACCCATCTACAAAATTACCAAACTACCCTCCCGAAAACCCTTTTCATGCAAAAGCAGCCTCCTCAACCCCACCAAAATCCAAGATCAAAACTACAAGCTTTCTTGGATAAACGAGATCCAAGAAGCGTACCCCTCCGCCGCCGCCGGTGGGGAATATTCCGACGAGGAATTTCAAGAACTGGTGGACCGGCGGTGCGTGGACAATGTGAGGATGCTGATTGTTGACTCGGTGCAGAGGGCAAAAGCGGGTCACCCGGGGATGGCTCTGGGCATGGCTGACGTGGCATACTTCTTGTACAGACACGTGTTCAGACACAATCCCATGAATCCCACGTGGTTTAATAGGGATAGGTTTGTCCTGAGCGCCGGCCATGGCTGCTTGCTTCAGTACGTTTGCCTTCATCTTGCTGGCTTCCACTCTGTTAAGGTATTAAATTTCTCTTTTTTTTTTTTTTTTTTTTTTTTTTTTTTTTTTTTTCTGTTATTGTGAATTAATTTGTTTAATTCTGGAATCAGATCGAAGATCTCCAACGACTATGCCAACTTGGCAGTCGGACTCCAGGTCACCCCGAGAACACGGTGACAGCTGGCATTGAAGTTACAACAGGTACTAATTTATAATTATGGTAAATTGCATTTACACCCCTGAGGTATGCTAAAATAATTATAGGTCCTTTTGGTATTGGTAATTACAGCCACCTCCCTATAACAATTACCGAAGCCAATATTTTGTGTCCCAGGGACCGATATGCATTATATTTATTTCCCGCGAGGTCGTTAATGCTACCATAGTCGAAAATTTATAAATTTTATATGAAATAATAAGGATTTATGAAATGTTAGGAGAACCATGTGGTGCCTAAAACTAATAGTCCGTTACAACCCTAACTGAATAACTTATCCAAATATTATTTCGTTATGGTTTCTAACAATGTTTCAGTGGTGATTGTAATTATCGATATTACGGGGACTTTAAAGTTATTTTAGCATACCTCAGGGGTGTAGGTGTAATTTACCCATTTTTAATTAAGATAATTTGATCATAGCTGATTGATTTAGGGGTGTGATTGTAATTACCAATACCATATGGACCTTAAAATTATTTTATCATATCTCAGGGGTTTAAGTGTAATTTACCCTTAATTTAATCATGGGTTTTGAATTTGAAGGCCCTCTTGGACAAGGAGTAGCAAATGCAGTTGGATTTGCTCTAGCAGAAGCACACTTAGCTGCTAGGTTCAATAAACCCGATGTTGCCATCGTAGATCATCGAACGTACGTGAGCGATAAAATTAATTAAACCACCACTCTTTAATTAATTATACAACTATTTATTGTCTTGAAATTAACAGGTATTGCATTATGGGCGACGGGTGTGCGATGGAAGGCATATCTAACGAAGCCGCATCATTAGCGGCACATTGGAAGCTCAATAAGCTCACTTTGATTTACGACGACAATAAAAATACTATCGACGGGCCCACGGACCTCGCGTTTACCGAGGATGTAACACTAAGGTTCAAGGCATTGGGATGGAATACAATTACGGTGGACGCCACTCATAGCAATATGAGTTCATTCAAGAATGCACTTTTGGATGCTTTTAACGAGACTCAAAGACCGACTCTTATCCGAGTATATATACATTAATTATTTATACTCATTACTAATTAATTGAAATATAATTATGCGAAAATTTAGAATATGTTGCGTGAATTTTTCAGGTGAAGACGTGTATAGGCAAATTGTCGAAGAAGGAAGGGACATCGAAAGCTCATCACGGAATCTTCGATGAAGAAGACGAGAAGCAAATGAAAGAAAAGGTTAAATGGGGTACTCGACAACCGTTTTATGTCATTCCTATGTTACATAGGTAATTAATTAAAATAAAACCACAACACATACGATTTAATTTAGCTCTTTTATTATCAAAATACATGAAAATCCTATTATTATTTCATAATTTTGTTAGGGAAATGCAAGTTCAAGCGGGCCGAGGAGAAGAATTAGAGAAGGAGTGGCACTCGAAATTGAATTACTATCAAAGTAAATACCCGCAAGAAGCCGCGGAATTCAAGTGTCTTCTCTATGGTGGAATGATTCCGGGATGGGAGAATTCATTACCGGTAATTAATTTTGTAATAACGCGCGATTTTCAATTTTATTTGTTGTTTCACATGCATGAAATTGAATTTTGGAATAATCCCATGTTAATCATTTTTCGTTCTTTTCAAGAAATGGTCCACATCCGATGCCGTGGACGCCACTAGAGGGTACTCCGAGAAGTGCTTAAACAACCTCGCGAAAGTGCTCCCGGGCCTCATCGGGGGTAGCGCGGACCTCGCCTCGTCGAATAAAGTCCATCTACACGACTACCAAGATTTTCAAAACCCCGTTTCTCCGTGGGGCCGGAATATCCGGTACGGTGTTCGAGAGCACGCAATGGCCGGAATTTCAAACGGCATAGCGTTGCACGGCGGTGGACTAATCCCGTTCGCCGCAACATTCCTCACATTCTCCGACTACATGAAAAACTCCATTCGACTCTCCGCACTAAGCCACGCGGGAGTCATCTACATCATGACCCACGACTCGATCGGGTTAGGAGAAGACGGGCCGACCCATCAGCCCGTGGAGCATCTCGTGGGTCTCCGGGCCATCCCACGTCTCCTTGTATTCCGGCCCGCTGACGGAAACGAGACCGCCGGAGCGTATAGAGTGGCAGTAGCTAATCGCGGCGCGCCAAGTGTCGTCGCGCTCTCGAGGCAGAAAGTGGCGGCGAATTTGGAGGGAACTTCAGCCGATGGGGTGGAAAGGGGCGGTTATATCGTGAGTGATAATTCTCTGGATGATCATTTGCCCGAGATTATATTGATCGGCACCGGGTCGGAGCTTTGTCTATGCGAGGGGAGCGCGCGTGTTTTGAGGAGAGAAGGGAGGAGAGTTAGGGTTGTTTCCCTCGTTTGTTGGAGGCTTTTCGATAGGCAAGGGGTTGAGTATAAAGAGCGCGTGCTGCCACCTGGCGTGACGAGGCGAGTGAGCGTGGAAGCGAGGTCCACAATCGGGTGGAGGGAGTACGTGGGGCCAGAGGGGGTGGTTGTTGGGGTGGATGAGTTTGGGGCAAGTGGAGCATATTTGGATACTTTTAAGAAGTTTGGTTTTACTGAAGAGAATGTAACTAGAATAGCAAAGAATTTGCTCTCAAAATAAACACGAAGTCCCTCCTTGTTTTTTTTATTGCGTAAAAACCCCTCTCGTGTTTTATTTACTTTGAACGGGATTCCTTTTTCCAAAAAAAGGTTAATGTCGTTAACTATAGAGGTGATTTATGCATTTTTTGTTCATAATAGAAGGGGATTTGGCACATATTTTCTACAATTCAGGGGGATTTTATGCAAAATTAATTTATTCATTTAATATTCATATTATTTCTTAATTTATTCTAATACATTTATTCAGTTATAATATGAAAAATTGAAATTTAATAGGTGCGATGAATGTTTAAAAAAAAAGTCATTTTTTATATTAATTAATTTATTATTGTATTTAATCTTTTTGATTTTTTAAAATAAATAATTATTTTGTTACCATGATTATATACTATTACAATTAATTCTGGATTAATTATATATAAAAGACATAAATAATTTGAAAATTCATTTCAACTTTCATAACCTGAAAATCTTTGACCAGCAATAATTAGACAAATCTAATTGTGTAGATATATTAAATACATTCATCAATCTTATTCAAAATTGCAATAACACTATTCAAAATTGCCAATACATGAATTCGTAATTGCTCAATTGTTTTCATTCTATATAAGGAACCAAAATATTGAGAATTAATTAAACTATCACATATTGTTACCATGATGAAAATATTATTTTTCGTTTTCTTGGCAACAAGCTTTTCCCATGCACTAGCGCAAGAAAAGCGCAGGTGCGCCTTCACTCCGAAGATCACGGTTCGTGTAGTGAATAATCTCCCTCCGAATTCTCAACCACTAGCAGTGCATTGTGCGTCGAAGGACGACGATTTGGGATACCACACGCTCGGAGTTGGGGAAGACTTTTCTTGGAACTTTTGCAACAACATTTGGGGCAACAGTTTATTCTTTTGTCATTTGTGGGTGGATAGACGAGAGAAAGCTTTTGATTCCTTTAGAGCGGAGTTTATCATAGGAACACCACCAAATAAATACTTTCAGTGGTCTGCACAGGACGATGGCATTTATTTTTCCCACAACGATTCTCCTTTCACGAAAAAATTTAAGTGGGACTTTAATGCGTGATCTTTTACTTTCTTCAATCATTTATATGAATAAAGATAAACATAGTTATAAAAAGTAAAAATAAACGTATGGAAATATAAAATTTAACTTTATTCGACGTTGGAATATTCATATTTTCTTTTTCGTTTTTTTTCTTTATTATGCAGTTCCTTGCTTTTTCGGCTATGTACTTACTTATGTGTTGCAAAACTGTAATGTGATTTAGTAAACATTTGGGATCGGAGCATGACAAAAACTACTGTAGAAGAACTATATATATATCGACCCTATATTTCGAAATGACAAGCGAAATCCGAATAAAATTATTGAAAGAACAATTAGGGAAACTAAATTATTGAATTTATTTGATAAAATATATAGTTGCATAAAAACTTCTGTGGATTCAAAAGATTAAATGGGTTTGTTTAGTCAACCTATGAAAAAATAGTTGAATAAATACTTACGTGTGAGGTGTTATTAATTGATTTTGAAGGTGCAAAATACAAAGTACCAAAATGATACTCCCTCCTTCCCTCAATAGTTGTCACTTTTGTTAGTTGCACACATATTAAGAAAATCAATAAATAGACATAGATATTAACAAAAAATATAGTAAATCACTAATATGCCCATGCCATTAATTGATTTTTAACTAACTATATTTTAATTAATTATGAATGAGAAGGGCAAAATTGAAAAATTGCAATAAATAATTCATTGGAAATACTAAAATGACAAATAATTTGAAACATAAAAAAATGGCAAAAGTGACAATTATTAAGGGAAGGAGGGAGTATATCTCAAGGAAAATAAATATACTAACCCAAGAATTTGAAATGATGATTTGAGAAATATTTGACTGTTTGACACAAATTATGATAATTAAATGAAAACTATATTGACCCAATAATTTTTGAATTGACAGGCGAAATCAAAATAAACTTATCGAAGAAAAAAGAACAAATGGGATTTACTATATTCGCCATAAATTTTAATATATTCAAGTAACTGTAAAGGAAATTTATTGAATAATTATATAAACCATAAAAGTAATATTTGACCCCCAATAATTTGACGGGTCGATTTTTTCTGAATTCTATCCATATTGCGAAATACATTAATATCAATCCTTTATTTGGTCAATTATTTTGACTATATAAGAAACCTCAATATTGAGAACTATCAATTCAAACCATCACACATTTTTCTCACCATGATGAAAACACTCTTGCTTGTGTTCATTGCAACAAGCTTTTTTTCGCAAGCATTTGCGCAAGAAAAGCGCAAATGTATCTTCAGTCCGAAAATCACAATCAAGGTATTGAATAATCTCCCTCAGGGTTCCGGATCGCTACAAATGCACTGTGCGTCGAAGGACGATGACCTGGGAAATCGCACGCTCGCAGTTGGTGACGAGTTCGACTGGACCTTCTGCGACCATTTCCTTAGCAAAACTTTATTCTTTTGTCATCTATGGTGGGGTGCACGACAGAAAGCTTTTGATGTCTACGATAAGGATCTTAGCCAAGGAAAACGGCACGAGTTCTATCTGTGGGCTGCACAGAGCGATGGTATTTATTTGGGCACCAGCGATTCTACGCAATCTTTAGTGAAAGTGTATAGTTGGGACTGATGCGTATACGATATGATGCTGTACTTTCTCTTTAATCGTTTATTAAAAAAAAACTGGCAATGTGCACGTGTAACACATAATATTGTATCAATAAAGATGAATGAAATGCTACTTTGTATTCCATTTTTACGAATACCGTTTCACTTTTGTGAATAAATAGTCAATTATCAATTATTAACTCATTATTTCGTTTAATTATTAGTTACTCTTACTCATTAACCAATAATAATTTGTATATATTACTAAGCTATTACTAACCAATTATTGTTAATTAGTTATTAATTATTAAATAAATGTAACCAATAATTAATTAGTTATTCGGATAATTACATTCTTAGTCCCTAATGTAGACATCATTTTCACTTTTGGCCCCGTATTTAGCACGTTTAACAAATAACACTCTAAGGTTATCAATTCTAAACACATTTGGTCATTTCGTCCATTGTGCTTGTGCTATGGATCAAAACACGTGCATGACGTCGATGGATCGAGTAGATTTGTACTCGTTGATAATTTTTTATTTCGCGTTATAATTATGTGGCCCAAACCACATAATTAAAATTTGGCCCACTATTATTAAATAAAATAATTGGCCCAACAAGTGGCGTTTCTTGTATCAACAGATGCTATTAGTTCTTTTCCAACAAGTGTGATTTTTCAAATTTTCATTCGTGTTTTAAGTTTGATGGTGGCCTTTGAATTTGTGCAAATATCGAAGTATTCGACTGTCGTATATTGAGAGACTATTGGGAGAAAACTGTTGCACCGTTGACAGTCCGAAAATATTGTCTTAATGACATTGCTTTTGTAAGCCTTAGTCGATTTGTCCTTTTGTCGTATTTCCGGTGAATTTCTACATCCAAATAAATACAGTTGTTAATTGTTAAGTGTATATTTATACACTTAATTGTACCTTTTAATTGGAGCTTTTGGTGTGTTTTAATGATAATTGGTGCTTAAAATGGCTATTATTTGTATTTTAGGTGCAAATTGGAGAATTGACAACTTTTGGGGTGAAAACTGCAATTTCGGAGAAAAAGTGGGCCAAAAGTGAAAAAAGCAGAATTCTGGAGAATTAAAAGACCGCACGGCCGTGCGGATTTTAGTTCTCAATCTCACACGGCCGTCCGGGTGGACGTGAAGGCGCAGTGAAGGAATTTTAATTACACAAGGAAACCCGCCCTATTATATTTTTGCACCCTATTTAAAGGCCAAGAGCACACAATTAGATCTATCTTTTAATCTTTTACCTTTTATCGTTATTATTAGTTTTTAGTCTTTCATCTTTTCTACAAGTAATCGAGGAGCAAGAGAACGAAGACGAAGACTTGACGAATCTTCATCCTAGTTTTCCTTTTTCCTTTCTTTTCTGATTTTTATGAATTTTCGTATTTTTATTATGCTTTTCGTTACGAACATGAGTAGCTAAGTTTTTATTCTAGGATTTTATTGGAACCCTATGTGGTAACTCGAACCTATTTTTCTACTTTTATGCAAGTTTAATTCTTCGATTATTTCTTCTATTTTGATCGTATTTAGTGCATGAGCGTAGCTAACTTATGTTGCTAGTTGTTATTGTTAGAATTGATTGACAGATCGTTTTAATAATTAGAACAGGGATAGAAGAGCCTTCGAGTAGTTTTTCACCGAATGCGTGTGTTGATTGCATGTATTATCGTAGACATACAGATAATACCTTAGGTAGCCGTTGTCGAGACTTGTTATTTAATGCTTTATTTATACTAGGTTTGCATAGACATATAGTGAATCTTTTATGAATAATAGGTTTATAACGCAGCGACAGCTGGTTATGAATAATTTCGTGTCTTGGGTTAATAATCGGGAATTGTAACTTGCATAATAGAAGATTAATTGGGTGAAGAATTATTGCATAGGGGGAAGATAAAATCCTAGATCCGTTTTATATTGATATTTTCTCGTGTTTAATTGCTTTCTTAATTAGTTTAATTTATTTAGTTAATTAATTTGACAAACTTGCGTAGGCTGAATAAAAATCATAATTGTTAGGATTTGGTACTTAGGATTAAATAATTTGCGTATTCCCTGTGGGATCGACATCCGACTCTCACGAGTCTACTTTACTACTTGTTTGCGATACGTGCACTTGCGTGTTGGTATTTAGCACCCAACATTAATCAATTATTTGAGTAAATTGCAATAAGACCCTTATATTATGTCAAACTAATAAAAAGTGCTCATATTATAAAATATTGGTAGAAATACCCCAATTAAATGTTTCCGGTTACCCTCCACACCCAAACCGGCCGTGAAAAATATAAATACTCGTAGGAGTTTTCGGCAATTAAAAAAGTATATAACCTAATATTTGCAATAACGGATTTCAAAATCGGGTTTTTTTTGCCATCTCTAGTAAGTGAGGGTAAATTTATAATTAACTAATTAGGGCATCAATCAATTTAATCCCAATTTTTGTCCAATTTCCAATCCCACATTTATTTTTTTCGCCAAACTTCCAGAAACCTCTCCAAACGAAACTCCCAGCAAAATGGCAGCTGCAGCACCACCACCACCGCCGTCCGCCGCCGCAATCACCCTCCCGGAATCCACTCCTTCCGGCCACACACTCTTCAGCCGCATCCGCCTCGCCACCGTCGACGACGTCCCCCACATCCACAAGCTCATCCACCAGATGGCCGTCTTCGAGCGCCTCACCCATCTTTTTCAGGCCACCGCCGATTCCCTCGCCGCCACCCTCTTCCCGCCAAACGCCCCACCGCCATTCACCTCCTTCACCGTCTTCCTCCTCGAGCTCTCCAATTCGCCCTTCTTCCCATCTCAAAATCCCCATTTTACCCCCGTCCTCAAACCCCACCACCTCGATCTCCCAATCGCCGACCCCGAGAAGGAAATCTTCAGAAGCAGCGCCGCCGGCGCCACCGGTGACGTCACCGTCGGCGGATTCGTGCTGTTTTTCCCGAACTATTCGTCGTTTCTGGCGAAACCTGGTTTCTACATTGAGGATATTTTCGTGAGGGAGTGTTACCGGAGGAAGGGGCTAGGGCAGATGCTTCTGTCCACGCTGGCGGCGCAGGCGGCGAAAATGGGGTACGGCCGCGTGGAGTGGGTGGTGCTCGACTGGAACGCGAACGCAATCAAGTTTTACGAGCAGATGGGGGCGGAGATTCTGCCGGAGTGGAGGATTTGTAGGCTCACCGGTGAATCTCTTCAGGCGTACGCTAACCTTAACATTTGACTCTAGTCATAATTTTCAAATGCTCGATTTCGATGAAATAATATATTTACCGAAGTTACGATTTCTGTATGAGCTTGTCGGTTTTAGTTTGTTTCCGGACAACTGTGTTATTGAATGGCGCAAACTTACTTCGAATGGGATTTTGTTATCTGTTTCGTGTGTATGTTTTAATTGCTGTGGATTAATTAGACTCTTGCAATAATGTTCTTGATTTTCGTGTAGTGTTAACAACGGTTGCCTTTTATTGAATTATGAGTAGTTTCGATCGAGTTTTGATTTCATATGTTAGTTTCGATCGAGTTCTGATTTTATATGTATGTACTAATTAGTAATTACTTAAGTACTATATGTTGATATAGTATTCTTGATCAATTTGATCAAGTATTTAGCCGTACGAAGCAAAATCGGATGTTTCGTATCCATCGTTACATGTTTTTGGTTTGTTTAAGAAACGAACAAGAATTTCCCTAAGTTGTCTCTGTCTCGTACGGGCTTTATAGTTATATTATACGTATGAAAATTCGTCTGCATATATAGTTTTTGTTTGTAGTCTCTTTACATGAGCAGCCGTGCGCGACGAGAAGTTGGTGTAGGTCTACACTATGTTTGGATGAAACTAAAAAGCAACTCGGTGCATGTTAATAAGGTAAATTGTCTTCAACTTTTTATTTCCTACACGATGATCTAATTCACGGAATTTCATTTGCTCTCGTTATTTCTAAAAACTTGCAAATGAAATAGGTCTCGTTATTATTGTTGATGAATGAACAACCAATCGTAAAACATACATTGCATCAAATCCCGTAAATTTGGGTTACGTTTGTATGTTGAGAATACGACTTTGTCGAATTCTTTCTAAGTGTAATTCATAGTTGTATATGAATTACCATATGATTCTGATGATTGTGTATACTGTAATGCTTTTAACATCCTTAAATTTGATTTTCTGTACTTACTAAAAGAGAGAGAATATTAAATAGGGTAAATCACAAAAAGGCCCATGACAAAGGCACTTAATTAAAAGAGGGACATTCAACTTTTTTGTCTTTCAAATAAATCCAGTTCATTCAAACTTATTTGCAAATAAGTAAATTTTTTTTATATATACCAAAATTACCCTCAATTTGTTGAAACCCAATTTAACTTCAATTTTATGATTTACACCCCAATTTAGCCCAATTTCATCAATTAACCAATTTTAACTATAATTTCAATTATGACCCCAATTTTGACCCGCCACCACCGGTCGCCGCCGGTCTCCGGCGTTGACTTTTTTTTTTTTTTTTTTATATAATTTTGTTTTTTCGTAAAAAAAATATTTTAATTAATATTACTGTCTTAACTGCTAAATTAATGTCTCCGACAGTTATATAACTGTCGGAGACAGTAATTTAACTATTAATTGACTTTTTTTTTTCTTCAAAAATATTTTAATTAATATTACTGTCTTTGCTGCTAAATTACTGTCTCCAGCAGTTATTTAACTGTCGGAGACAATAATTTAACTGTTAATTGACTTTTTTTAAAATATTTTAATTAATATTACTGTATTCGTTACTAAATTACTGTCTCAAGCAGTTATTTAACTGTCGGAGACAGTAATTTAACTGTTAATTGACATTTTTATTCTTAAAAAAATATTTTTTTATTAATATTACTATATTCGTTGCTAAATTGTTATCTCCAGCAGTTATTTAACTGTCAGAGACAGTAATTTAACTGTTAATTGACTTTTTTATTCTTAAAAAAAAATATTTTTAATTAATATTACTGTATTCGTTGCTAAATTACTGTCTCCAGCAGTTATTTAACTGTCGGAGACAATAATTTAACTGTTAATAGACTTTTTTTTTTATAAAAAAAATATTTTAATTAATATTACTGCCTTGGCTGCTAAATTACTGTCTCCAACAGTAATTTAACTGTCTTAGACAATAATATTAATAATATTACTTTCCCAAACAGTAATATTACTGTCTGAAACAGTAATTTAGTAGCCAAGACAGTAATATTAATTAAAATATTTTTTTCTAAGAAAAAAATTCAAAAAAAAAGGTCAACGCCGGAGACCGGCGGTCAAAGGTGGTTGACCGGCCGGAAAAAAGTTTAAATAAAAAAAAAGTTTCAAAAAAAAAAAAATGTCAACGCCGGAATCTGGCCGGAAAAATAAATTCAGAAAAAAATTATTTTCTGAAAAAAAAAAATTGGGAGTTAATATGATATATTTGTTTAAATCCGGGGTCAATGTGTAATATTAAGGAAGTTATAGCATAATGGATGGAATTGATAAGAATTATATTATGAAGGGTATTTTAGGTAAAGACATGAGGATGAGTTTAATTGAGAGACTATTTTTTTATGGACCAAAATGCATTTAAGTCACATGTGATGGACCTTTTTGCCATTCGCCCATATTAAATATGACTTTCTTTTGCAATTTTGTTTAATAAATTAAGGAAAATATATTTATAATTTCTGAGGAGTTATTGTGTAATATTGACCTGCAAATTTGAATTGTTTACCTGCCATGTATTTAATCAAATCCGTTTCGGAAATTAAATTACAGTGGTCTTTCATTTTGTGTAAATATTAAAAGTATAGGGGTATATTTATAAATATGTTATTTAGAAACATATATAAGTTTGTATTCATATTTAAATTTTATTTTTATATACTTTCATACAAACATATTTTTGACTATCAATTTGCAAATGTTTATTAAATCGTCTAAATAATTAGAGAAGCAACGAAAGAATTTTGAAAATTTGTTATTCAAACATTTTTCTAACTTTTTAGTAATTGTAAAGAGTAAAAAGCAGTTTACCCCCTAAATTAATGGTCGTTTTGCACTTTGCCCCCCAAACAAAAAAAATTAGCACGTTTTTACCTGAACTAGTTAATTCGTTGCACGGTGCCCCCTGAACTGCATTTTCCGGCAATTTTGAACGGAATGTTAAATCATATGCGTTGCACGTGCAATTTACAGGGGTAAAATTGTCCATTCTTAAAATGTATATATTAAATATAAAATAACATTTATAATAAAGGAAAAAAAAGGCAAAAAACCCACCACAGGCCTTTTTTTCCTTTTTTTCTTCCTCCCCTTTTTCTGCTCTGTTCTATTTCTTCTTCTTTTCCTTTTTATTTTTTTCTTTTTTTCTTCTTCCCCATTTTTACGCTCTGTTCTATTTCTTCTTTCTTGTTCATTTACCTGACCCACCATTGCCCCCTTTTTTTTTCCTCCGCTGCCGCCTCTAGTTCCCACCACTTCTGCCGCTGCAATTTACCTGACCCATCCCCAAATTCCCAGCCCATAAACTTAGACAACAACCCTTGCCCACAACCGCCACCATCCCATTGTGAAACTACTCTGTTTTGCCGGCGACGAGGCTAATGAGGAGGCGAAGTACGTGGTAATGACAAGAATTGCAGAGGCTGAGAGAATTGGTGATGGGGACACTGGAACAACTAAGGAAGAATAGGAAGATTTCAATTTCTCTCTTTAAGGAAGAATCGAAAATGACATTTATGATTTGACAGGAGAAAGAATGGACATCGGAGGTCGTATGGTGGATGCAGTGGAGATAGATGGATGAGATAATTAGGCGGAGGTAAGAGATTATGACAAGTTGTAGTCGGGATCGGAGGAGAGATAGTTGTGTAAAGCCGGTGTCATAGAGGGTCTTCGCCGGAGCCGGAGGAAGGGGAGGAAAAAGCGGCGGAGGAGAGAAGGAGGGATTAGGGAGCGTGCCGGGTGGTCGGTGTCGGCGAGGGAGGAGAGAGGGTCTTCGCCGTCTTTGTCGGAGGAGGTGAATCAGGATTGAGCTTTGGAGATGGATAGATAAATCACGGATGGTGGGCGGGTGAGGAAGAAGATGTTGCAGATGATTTTTTTTTTTTTTTTTTTTAATTTAATATATATAAAATTGAAGTGAATTTATGAATTTACCCCTACAAATTTCATGTGCAATGCACGTGTTTAACTTTCCGTCCAAAATTGCCGGAAAATTCGGTTTAGGAGGCACCCTGCAACAAATTAAGGAGTTCAGGTAAAAACGTGCAAATTTTTTTTGTTTAGGGGGCAAAGTGCAAAACGGCCATTAATTTAGAGGGCAAACTGCTTTTTACTCAATTGTAAAATAGCCCATAAGGTGTCCGGCAAGTGTTTGACACGAAATGTGTCCGAAATACGGAAGCGCTAAGTAATTATAGGTTTTGTGCTACACGATGTTTTCGTGTATTTCAAAGGGCGTAACATCTACAAGACTTTTAACATGTGTTTGCCTTTATAAGTCTTAAGTTTAATAGAAAAGTACAATTAAATACGTATAACTAATAAAATTCTATTAATAGCGAAAAAATAAATTATGGAACTAACAATTTAACACGTTTTCATTGAGTCAGAATCAATTTTTTTCTTATTCAAGTGAATTTATTAATTTATCGAGATTACATCCAACATTTGACAGATAAATAAATATCATCAATCTCACAAATATGAGTTGATTTATATCACTAACACCTGTAAACACAAACACATTTGTTTGGGGGTGGACCGGGTTGACAGTGATTGCTAATCATTGGACCGGCCCCCAAATATTCTAAGCATTTATTTGTACACGCCATTGAAACCCCTCCATGTACCTTACATGGCCCACTTATCACATCTGTGCAAACCTTTTCCTGTTTTACCCCTTGTGCTTTACACCCTGCATTTTATTTTATTTTTATTAATTCCAATTCTATATTACAAACACTAAAATCAAATCAAATCAAATATAATAAAAGAGCAATTATTTAAATTTTTTGAATAGTAATTCTACGAATCGGGATCAAGTATCGACTTTCTTAATTGAATCGTTCGTCGAAATGAATCCACATTTTATAGATTGCTTTGATTAAGTAAGAGGTTTCTTTCCAAGAAAAATCCATTTAAATTAGCAAATTAATTAAGACTATCAATTTTCCCCGTGCATTATTGCAAAAAAGAAATAAATCATATCCACACGTATACCAGATTTACAAATCTGATTTGCTATGAAAGACATTAGATAAAATGCTCGGAAAATAGGAGACGGAAGAATAATAATACTAAATTTTAAAAAATTACAAATATGCCATTAGGGTTTGTGAGAATTTTATTAGAATTGCCCTAATGTTTCTTATTTTTATACATAAAGATATGTTTTTCAAAATAAAAATTCATACCTGAGAGAAGGGCAAAAGAGAGAACTAAAATACAAAAGCATGCCAAGAACTTTGCCATTGGATTGGAAGGTTTTTTTTTTTTTTTTTTTTTTCTCTTCAAATTTGCAATGTGCTTATGATAATAACAACTCCTTGTAGCATATTTATATACTAATTTTTTAACATATATGATTATTGAGAATCCTAAGATTGGGTCTACTTTATTTTTTTAAGATTGTATATTTAATATATTTTATTTTGTTACTATACTAGAAAAGATTTTCCAATTAATGTAGAAAAGTTTGTGATCCTAATTTTAATATTTGTATAACTTCATTTAATATATTTATACATAGTATTACTACTAATTGCTCCTTCATTTTACTAACTTACCATGTTTATATACTATATTATTTACACTATTAGGTTCTTGAAATCATATGATTGTGTTGACTTGCTTGCTATGTATACGTAGGGCTGTGCATGGATCGGTTTTAACCATCAACCAACCCATTTTCGACCCACAATTTATGATGGTTAATCAACCATCAACCGACCCATTTAAGTTGGGTCGATAATGTCAACCAACCCATGTATAGTTGGGTCGATAATGGTTTCTAATATGCTAAAAAGTTGGTTAGTCGGTTAATATCGGCCAACCAACTTTATTCACTAATTTATTATTTATTAATTTTAATTAAAATATTTAATATTTTAATTTTAAATTTTATTTTTATATCACATTTATTAAATTGTTTAATATTGACCAAAATCCTAAATGCAATATATCTAACCTAATTATCTAATTTGAACTCTTTTAATTTTAAGACATATAGTCTAAATATTTAGACGATTATTATCTGTTGAACTATTTATGTTTAATTGCAATATATATGCCCGTAATGTTTTGAATCTTTTATTTGAATATTATTGAACGAGTCGCATTTAATTTATAAAAGATATAGCGTTGTAATAAGTAATAAAATATTAAAAAATATTAAAAAATATTTAGATGGATGACCCATCAACCAAACCACCAACCAACCCATTAAATTGGTTTTCAACCATCACCCAACCCATGTAAATTGAGTCGATAACGGTTTCCAATATTTATCAAAGTTGGTTGGATGGGTTGGGTTGGTTTTATGGCTGGTTTTTAACCAAACCAACCAACGCACAGCCCTATGTATACGTGCGCGGATTATAAACCTGCGAGTTCTAGTAAAATTCACATTTTTCTTGTCGAACAACGGTTTTTGATTTAAAAAAACCAGATTTTGTGAATTTTCAACGGGTTTGGGATAGACGGGTCTGTTGCTGATTTATCGTAGTACTAGTACCCAACATTCACGGGTCGAAACCCGTTATAATTTAAACATGTTATATCCTTAATAATTTTTAAGCTTTACGAGAAACTATTTAGAAATTAATATAAATGACCAAGCGGACATTTTTTTGATTTAAATTGAGTTGAATCAAATTAACTGTGAATCGAGTTTGAGTTTACGTACAAGTGAAGTATATCGAGTAAACCTTTTAACATATATTCATTTATATTAGTGTGTCAAATATAAATCATATATACTTGTAAATATAAAGCAATACATTAATTTCCAAGAAAATCAAAGTGAATATTTGACATAAAACACTGAGGCCTCGTTTGGTTGAGAAGATAAGATTAGTCAAGATAAGATTAAATAATCTAATGAGATCTAATTATTTTATTAGAGCTTGAAAGGTCCAACAAAAAAAACTCATTAAAAGGCAAGATAAGCCAAGATAAGACAAGATAAATCATGATTATATAATTTTGGCGGGTCGACCCGACAAGTTATTGAGGATACCAAACATCAGATTAAGTCCAACTATTTAGTTAATCATAACTTATCTTGGCAACCAAACGGGGCCTGAACATATATAATAAATATAGAAAACCAATAGTCAACAGTCAGTCTTTTATCTCTACATATACATATCATAGATTTGTCAATGCCCAAAAGAGAAAAGCTATTCTTGTGTCAGTACTATCAAACCCCCAAAAAACAGCATAAATATAAATTAAAATTAAAAAATAAAAAATAAATAAAAAATAAAAAGTAAATTGAAAAATCTTCAGTCAAATTGAATCTCAACCCACAATCACAGATCTTGTCAGAACACCCTCTGAAAACCCTAGAATTCAGTGAGACTTTTTTTTCATAATGACAATATTTTTTTTTTTTAAATTAAATTAATTTCCTTTCCCACAGAAAAAATCAAAAAAGGGGTATTGGATATTAGTATCACTATTTAATCCATCATTTTGATCAGATGAGCTACTTGGACAAGGATTGCTATCAATCTCAATCCGGCCACTTCTTGATTGTAGAATCCCAGTTGGATGGATTGGGAATAAATCCAGTGTTTCTTGATGATGATGATGATGCTCCTCTTGATTCTTGTGCATTGGCTTGTTGTACCTTTGACTTTGACTTGTGCTTCCTGGGATTAGTGTTGGCCTCTTACTATAATTACCTGCAGGAATTGGTAGTACCTTTGGATAGTGGTGGTACAACTGTCCTTCATTCTTTGGTGCTGCCATATAACATGGGCTGCAACCAACTGCAAACAATAATTAAATAAAATTTAATTCATGATCCCCAAATTAAGTCATGATCGCCAAATTATTATGCAATGATTTGAAAATTTTCACTAATACATTATTTAAAAAAAAAATAGAACCAAGAAAATGTAGAGAAAAAATGGTATATATATATAGATATAGGGATAATTACAGTTTTCGTTCCTCAAGTTTGCACCAATTTCACATTTGGAAACACACATTTGATCATTTATGTTTCAATAATCTAACATTTTTAGTCAATTTCGTCAATTTACCATTAAGTCCGTCAGTTAAGTAGGTGATAGGGACACACTTGATTCCATTAGTTTTAAAGGAAAATTAAAAGAAAGCAGTACAAATGTTGAATTTTTGAAATATGAGGGATCGAATGTGTTTTCTTGTGAATACAAAGGACCAAATATGTAATCGGTGCAAATTTAAAGGATGAAAACTGTAATTATATATATATATATATATGTATATAATTTTTTTTTTTTCTTTTTTTTCCTTTTTGCAACCTAAAGCATGCAATATATACATCAAGAACCATTGTAATAGAATACAAAAACACACATATATATAATACACACACACAAGAAGGCAGAAAAAAAACAGACATACCATTTTGATAAGGTAGTGGGAAAAGAGGGGAGGGGTGGTGGTGGAGAAAGCGGTTGAAATATGCATACGTGTCCTGCTTCTGCTTCTGCCTTTGTCTAGCTTTGTGGTTTTGGAACCAGTAAAACACGTTTTTACCTTCGATGTGTCCGAAATCGCGTAACCTAACTGTAATCTGCTGTATCTGTTCGGCGGTTGGTGTTCTTAAACCCTGTTTGTATAAACCCTCCAGCATGTTTATCTGCTCCTTCGTTGGGTTCCATCGAGACCCTCCGTTTCCGTTTCCGTTTCCATTTCCATTTCCATTTCCGCCGCTACTCTGAACATGATCGCCGCCGCCGCCGCCGCCCTCCATTTTTTAAATTATTTTCTGGGATTATATAGTTTATTTTGAAACTAAAAGAACAATAAGAGATTTTTGTTGGAATGAAAATGGTGGCGTTTCTTTTCTTCTGTGTACCGGTTTTATAGGGATTTGTAGAGAGAGAGATTGAGAGAGAGAGAGAGAGAGAGAGAGAGGAGTTTGTTGCCCTAGCAATCAACCAATCATATGCTTGCATGAATATTCGTGCGAGAGATACGTATATGTGTGTGTGTGTGTGTGGAGAGAAAGAGATAAACAAAGAGTCAAACAAGAAATATACACAACACAATGAGGAGAGAGAGAGAGAGAGAGAGAGGGATATATAGCAAAATGCATGCGTATAGTTTTTGGTGCAGAAACAACTCTGAAAACATGGATTAGGCCTGGGATGCAGGGAAAAGACGTAAATGCCCCTAGGAGGGAGTTGCATTGGGAATGAAAGAAGATGGTTGTATATAGGAGATGGAGAGAGTGATACATATACATATAGGGGCAGGTGATGGAAAAAGGACATACTACACTACAGGCCGTTGGTTTGTAATTAGAGTATAGGGCCTAGGCTTTGGAAATTGCAGCAAAACTCTCTATGTAGTAGCTAGACTACTCTGCCACCACACCAAGAAATCAAGAGAGAGAGAGAGAGAGAGAGAGAAACCATATCAAGAGAGAGAAACAAGAGAGAGAGAAAGGATGATGGATTTTGGGTTTGATTCAGAGGAGGCGACGACGACTCTTTGAAGATGGTGACGAGAAAAAACAGAATAAAAGAGGACAAAAATTATATCTCTATTGCTTCGAGATTTGAGACTTGCTTTTGCTTCCATATATATATATATATATATATCACTAGTTGACATTTTTATCTTTATTTACTGTAGTTATTTATTTATTTGTTTTTTAAAAATAAAAAAAAAAGAATTATGTTGATACATGTGTGTTTATTTCTTTTATTTGCTAGTTATATGAATATCGGTTGAGTTATTCCATTTTAAATTAACTGTCGTTTCTTAAATAAATAAATAAAATTATATTATTCGTTGTTTTAGAATTTCAATAGTTCATTAATAACTATTTTTCCAATATTTCCCTTGTTAATCATAGATTACCTCAAAACATTGATTCTCCCAAACAAATTAATTGATTAATGGAGATAGTAATTTAGTACAAATGGAGATGCTAGGCTGCACATTTATTATATATTGATTTTGCAAAATGATTAATTACCAAGGTAATTAATTAGTAACAAGAGTACTTATTAGTGCTGCATTTTAAACTTTGAGAATGAAGGAGCATTAATTCATTTTCTTGGCAACTGATTTTTTTGCAGCTGTATTTTTATAAAAAAAAACATTTCGAACTCGAAAACCTGCTAGCATAAATTAATTAAAAAAATATATATATATATAAAAAAATTACAACACCAATTAGATTGAAAATTTAATGCATTTAAATAACATTACCTAAAAGTTTTTTATTTAGATTTGAATGAGACTTCTTTCCCAGTCATAGACATGCAAGTTTTCGACATCTTTAAGCTCGAAAATGTGAGAAAATCCCGATTTCTTCGTGAGAATATTAGAAGCCACCATCACAAGTTTTTCACAGGCATGAATTTCATCCAGTTTCTCAGCCGCACTAATTTCCTTCGATACCTCTCCCCACTTCTCGTCATATAACCTGTCCGGAAAAAAAATGCAGACTTTACCAATTTAATCTTGATTTTTTAATTTTTTTAATTTTTTTTTTTTTTAAAAAGAGATAAGAATCTTACCATCTCCAGGCAGGATTTGCTTCGGTGGGGCAGTGAATCTTTGTACATAGTGATGGCAAAGAAATCCCGGTCAAAGACTCCAACTCTGGTGTAATAAAAAGAACAGAGTTTAAGGCACAGACATAACTAATTAATCAATTAAATAATTAAAAGTAATTAAGACGTAAAAGTGTACCTGAAGAATTGGGAACGAGTAGAAGACAAAGTGCAGAGACAGCCGAAGGAAGCAAACTATGGTTAAAGCCTATAATCTGTAACAGGTAAAATATAGTGGCAGCCAATACATCATCGCATCCATTTTCTTCAAATACTTTCTTGTTTTTCGAACTTAACCAAGACTGCAAACTGTGGAGGCTCTCTCTTTTGGAGCAACTATTATTATCATCTTCGATCAATTTACGAGAAATTTTTCCACGTATAACTGATGCAATCAGCCAACGCAAAAGCTTCGATACAATTGACTCGTCTTCAGGTTTTGATTGGATAGCAGTTGCGACTGCCCATCTCAAAAACTTCGAAAGATTTTCCTGCCCCTGTGTGATAATATAAACGAAACAATTATTTTCACATAAAAAAAAATATATATATATCGGTGAAAAAGGTTGTAATAAGTCCAAAATACCATTCGACGAATAGTGACTGGAGGAGTTGTTGTGAGAACAGCTTTGAGTGCCAAACACGTACTAGGATCGGACTTTGTTTTGGAGCATGATTCTACGGTTTTGTAGAGCTGAAATAAACTATCTTCTGATAATGTAAAATGCGGTTGACTAATCTTCCTCTTTTGTGATACCTTCAGCAGTAAAGTCAATGTTTCGAGTATTGAGTAGCAGAGGGTGCTTTCTTCTTTGATTAGGTCGAAACTACTGACTAGGAGTTTGAATAGATTCGATGAAAGTTCTGAAAGCTGCTCCATAGCATGTTTTGGCAGCCACTCGATATTATTTCTCGGTGATGTTATATAACTTACAACCTAAATTAAAAAATTAAAAAAAAAAACACAAGGGAAAAATGGTTAGTTATGATGCATTTGCTGTCAGAATTCATGCTTCTCCGACAAACATTAAATAATAATAATAATCTGAACAAACAAGATGATGAAACAAGGGAACCAGTACCTTAAATACCATTGGCAATTGTATGAAGGCAGCCCTTTTCTGTTCTTGGCATTTAATCAAATACAGAGACGAAACAATAGATGACAACCATAAAATCAAACCGCCGTGTTCGACTAAAACCCGAACTGCTCTATGAAATTGGCAAGCCTTCTCCACTATCTGCACCACACAATCATTCATTTCAATTTATATCTTCCACTCAATAAGCCAGTTGTAGAAAAAATAAAATAAACAGAAAAAGTAAACCAAGCACACCTGGATGATAAGTTCCTTTGAATCATTATCCGAAAGAGGTGAGCAATAAAAACTCATGAGTGTCTTAAAAATGTGATTGCCGAGATATATTTGAGCATCATCTTCAGTATTCAGCCCAACATACAACAACCGAAGCATCCACAACCGGTCCATTTTAAACTTATCGGAACTACTCCAGAAAAGAGTCGAGAATAATGGAATATCCTGTCATCATTTAAGACAATGTGTCATTAAAGTGTATTTACCTCAAAACAAAAGGAAAAATCAACACAGGAAAATCTAGCATATATTTTAGAGCAAACATACCTTCATGTTAACACAACGGGACTTATTGAAATACTCGTATATGGAAGAATGATTGGCGTATGATTCGTCCAACAGTACCAAAGAAGCCTCTGCGCAGAATATGGCAATAATGGATGGAATTCTTCGCCATTGCCCTTCTATTCCATTTTGCAAAGATGTCATCAACAGACCAAGTCGTTTCACATCCTTCTTCTTTTGACATTTCTGTTAGAGGTTTTATGTTTTTAATATTTCAAACTGATAAAAGATTGAAGTGCATACATTCATAGTGCATAATGTTAAATAATTTTCTTAGACACCAAAGAAAAGTATGAAGTAAGTCCACGGCCCGAAGGAAAGAACCATTTGCACTTCATGGAAATCGGATGGCCCGGATCGGAATAAGCACGTTCGGAAAAAATATGGTTTTTTGCGAAAGTGGAATATCTATTCCAATTCTGTTCCAAAATAATCGAAACAAAACAGAAATCGGAATTTCGGAAATTGGAATGAAATAAATTTGTTCCGAAATCGGAATTGTTTTGGTCGGAATCAATAAATTCAAAAAATTCCAACTTTTTAGGCACCTAAAACTAAAATATAAAATACATAATAATATTGATATTAGAAGTGTAATTTTGGAAAAAAAATGGAAATTTCGGAATTTTTTTGGAAATTAAAAAAGAATCAGAAATCGGCAATCTCATATGTATTCCTATTCCAATCCAAAAAAAATCGGAAATAATAGAAATCGGAATTCTACCTCGAGTGCACTGTTGAATTTTGAAAGCGCTTCGTACCCCAATTTCCTAGTAACCTCGTCATTTGAAGACATACTGACAAACGTAATTGCAAGCAAGCCTAAACTAGCAAACTCAATTGGTTCGATATAGTTCCTCGAGAGACAATGAATCGAAAAACGGAGGATGAAAATAGGATCGTATATCTGTAGCTTATCAGTTGTCGAACAGGCCTGCACAAAGTATTTTTCCAATCAGAAGAATATACAATAGATGCTGAAATGGTGAAATACCATATATATACGTCAAATTACTAGTACAATGAGATCGCTAGAGAAATACCTCAGTCATAACTGTAGAACTAGTTCCTCCATTCACAAATTCGTTGTAAGGAAAATGAAGCACAGTTTGAGCACACATGTTAGGGTCGACCGGAATATTCTCTCTGAATTTAACCTTCTGAAGTTCTTCAAAAGATTCGGTGTTTTTCAAGTCAACAGAATCTTTTCTCATCTTTAGAGAAGATGGTCCCCATATATAATCCGTTTGAGCAACAATCCCAGCACTCGACTTATCATTAGACTCAATTTCCAACATTAAATTATATATTTCCTTATCAACTTCACTACACGTCGCCCCATATGAAGACAAAAGCAGATAGACCAATTCTCTACAATTTATACCCTCCTCATCTCCAACATTTGCTTCTTCTCTTTGCTGCACGTAGATCTGAAAAAGTACTCTGACAAGCTTAATAAGTTCCAGCAAATTTAGATCTGGCTCACTTGTTGATTTCTTGTTTTTGAAGTACAAGGAATCTAGATTAGTACAAGGAATAACGAGAGATGTCATAATGCTACGCATAGGTGTGAAAACCAGCCCAAACTGAGTCGAATCGAGCGATTGGTTAGCAGAATGAATGGACTGTGCAAACTTCGAATGAGCGAGCAAAAGCTGGATTACTGAAATGCATGAAAATTTCCCACGAGATAAAGAAGTTAGAACAGTTCGCAGCATCTTCAGAGTCACGGAATCTTCGAACCTATAGAGAAGAAACGATTTCACGAGCTGTTCTGTGAAGGGAAGAGAATCCAATTTGATAAGACAATTTTGAATCTCTGTAGTCAATTCCGACACATTGTGCATTACAAAGAATTCCAAAAACCTAAACAACGAAAGATTCTCCCCATCAATATTACCCGAGTAGGCATTATTTTCTGGAAACTTCTTCACAATCAACATCCAGGTACTGATCAACATTCTAAGAAACTGGATTCTTGACTTCTCTAAAGGCGGAGATTCACTTCCATTACAGTCGAAAAATAATAGTATCCTACAAAAGTTGATATACGCAACAACTTTGTTCACAAACTCTAAAGGTTGTTTAAGAGAATGAAGTCCAGTCTCACCACAACAGCAGTCAAAAATATCATCTGCATTAGAGGGACACACTTGATTAAATAGACTCAACCTCCAATCGAGTTTCGATATATCTTCGTTCGATGCCAGATGATCTCGTGCAATAAGGATTGCTTTTCCTAGAAGACTGTCTGAGAAAAGATTTGAAAATTCTTCTCTTGATGCAGTCAAGAGTTTATCAAGTCTAATCTCGAAAATACTACTAGAGACAAAGATCTTCCACTTAGAAAAACCACCAAAGAGTAAACGACCGTACACCGAAAGTATAACTTGAAATGGCTTGGAGGGCTGTCCCTCAAATTTGATGGTGACTGAATTTAAGTACAACAAGGCAGTGGGCAAAAGCATCGTTAATTCTTCATCGGACAACGAGTATTTAGAAGTTTCTTGATTCTTGTGGGCATTAGGAAGCAATGTGTTCAATATTTCAGAAAACGTAAATCCAAAGGCAGACATATGTAGGGGGCTCGTTCCAGTAATAAGATACAACAAGTCAGCCTTTGTTCTATCAACTTTGTGCAAGCAATGAGAAATTATATCTATAGGAGTGCTTGCAACAATTCTTGATAACACCATTATGGAAGGAAGATATGGATCTTGAACTGATTTATGCATTTTCACAACCTTGACAGCTTTAAGCAGACATTTATCAGCAATGTCTAGTTTAAAACGACAGCAGATCTCGAATACTTGAAAAAAAATCCGTTCAAACAGCAAAACATCAAACTGAGTCTCGGTTCCACCCAAATAACTATATAGTGTACTTTCTGGATTTGGCTGCCCCATATATGCTGAAAGAATATCGAAAGTGCAACTTGCTAAGTGCAAACCAACAAAGAGATCATTTCTTTTTGATGATTGATGGACAGTTGCATTCTTGGAATCAATACGAGAGAACAACCAGTTTACCAATTCAAGCAGCTTAAACGGAGATATAAAACGGATCAAAGTGTGCAAAGCGTAAAATGTTGGGACGAAAGGCTTGAAATCCATTGATTTGATGCATGCATCGAACTTAGTCTTAAATATCAGAAACAGCTTCTGCTCCATTGCTTCAAACGCTCTTGATATTTGCTTTCTGCCATTTATAACTTGCTCGGATAATTGATCGTTGCGCATCGGAAAGATAAACTCAGCAACTGTTTTGATCAAATCCAAGACATGGTGGTCCATTCTATTAACTGCTTGTTTAGCAGATTGAAGAAGTTCTCCCAAAGACTCCCCAAAGATTGAATCTGAAAACTCTATATCACCAGACAGAGGAAACCTCAGTGAAGATGTCACAGAAGGGTGATTAAGGATGAATTCTACCACTTCTGCAGCACAATTTACTGGTATATGGCTCAGATTTTTATCCAATAATTGTTTCACCAAATACTCGGCGAGAATAAAACATGTTTCGGAAGACATCTTGAGATCATTGGAAGATCCGATTCTGTAGGATGAGCTGGCATGATTCATCCAGAACATTACATAGCATAGCGAAGAAACCAAATGATCAGATGGAACCGCAGTCACTTTATCCAAAAGCAACTTTTTGAGCGCCGACTGCTCAAATAAATGGCAGCTGCTACTTTGTACAATGGCTGAAAATAGTACACAAAATGGAGCGCTTCTTAAATACCGAGCAAATGCAGCAGAAGCAGCTTTTTTCGAATCAAGGTCACCTTTACACGAATTATCTTCCTTCTCTTTACAACAAGTAACACTACCCAGAGCATCAAAGAGCATTTCAGGCCATAATTTGGAAACATCAGTGAGAAAACTCGATTGAAGGAAAAACATAGATGATAAAACTGAGAAAGGGGCTTCGAGTAGTTCACTTGAGATGGATAAGACTAATGGGAAATTCTGCAAAATCTCGGTGTATCTTGTGCACAGCAATGAGAAGGAAAACCCCACTGTCAATCCAACAAGTCCACTCTGATACTCACTCCTTAAAACTCCTTTAATATTCCCAAG